TGTCCGCTTTCGATCTTGCTTCTCCAAACCTGTGAATGTAACCAGTGGGGTTATACTAGGAAGTGTAATTGGTCCATTACTATTTCTCCTTTTTATCAACGACGTTTGTTCCCTCTTTCAATATGGTAAACCCTTTCTTTTTGCCGATGATCTAAAAGTGGTTTATTCATTCTCATCTCCCACAAAAGAAAGCTATATTTCAACAGTAATCCAAGAAGAAATAAACAAGTTGTACGAATAGACTATTTCGTGGAATTTGCCACTTAATGTTGACAAAAGTGGATTTATTAACATTGGCCGTTGCCTTAACTTAAATCTGGCTATACACAAACATACATTGAAACCTCTCAACACTGCACGTGACTTGGATTTAAGATACAGCGACAGTTCGAACTTTTCGGAACACATTGCATCTCAAGTATCCAAAGCTAGAAAGCTCATCGGATTCATAATGATTAATTTCAATAATACCGAATCGAGATTATTATTATACAGAAAATGTATCTTACCAATTCTTGAATATGGTATCTTAGTTTACAGTAACTGCAGGCATAATGACCTGATTAAAATTGAAGGTGTTCAAAGAAGGATCACCAAAGCTGTTTTGGGGTATTCTGACAACAAAGACTATCACCAAAGATGTCAACAACTCAAACTAGAACCTCTCTGGATCAGGCGTATCAAACTAAACATTATTTTTCTCTACTGGCTTCTTAACGGTATTTCTTACTCTTCGCTATCCACCCCATCATACTCTATGATACCGTCCCACAATCTACGCAATAAGGAAAATATTCTAGCGATTCCAAAAACCCAAACAAATTTACGCCAGAATTTTTTCGTTATTCGCTACTCAACCATCTGGAATAGACTACCAATGAACCTCCGATGCAGTGAAACTATAATCCGGTTCCGAAGTCTTCTTGATGACTTTCTTTCCAAAAGTGGATTGTGTCACCTTTTGAATATTAACGTGCTTAACAACCATTTATACAAAAATGGTCCGTCATCTATCTAACTGACTGAAAAGCAAAGTGAAACCTTTGAAACTTTTCACTTTATTTTATATTTATCTGAATATACAAAGTCTGCTTATGTTCGTATTTATAATTATTACTGTTATTAATATCATTATTGGTCTTTCGACACATTAGATATTCATTTCATCTCTTCTTGTCCTTCTAAACATATTTTATCCAAAGTCTACAATTAAAAACAAAAAACCCCTATGTTCCACCTAAATAATTTTTTTTCAAAATATTCACAACATATAACATATAAAAATTTATATTTAATTATTTTTTGCAATTAATTATGACTATGATAGCATCATTGTAAATTATTATTATTGCACTAATGTTTATACTACAACCCGGTTTCACTCTGTATACTGTTACATAATTCTACACGTATTTATCCGAGTGCAGTAAAGATTTATTATTGTTACTATTGTTATTATTATTTTAAAATTCTTCGTTCATCTCAAAAGTCTATATCCATTACACTATTATGATCGTGGTTGAACCCTTTCACCATGTGTTCATTTCTTTACTCTCTCCTTTTTTTTCCTTCTAAATAAATATTATTCTTAAGATTACGAAGCTTTTGATTAAGGCAATAACTTGTGTTACGCTGAATTAAAACTTATCAGTCTCTTTTTATCTTCACTATGTATATACACCTCATACACATTGATTATCTTTTGCACTTAATTGAAACTTTCATAGCATCACCCAAAACTATGACTGTGCTGGCACAAACGCTTATTCTAACGTCATATCTTACCGCAATAATAAGTTATTTACTTATTAATTTATTCTGTTTTATTTTATTTTTATTACTTGTTTTTGCTGTACATACATAGTTGTTTATTCTTGTTCTGCGTTAAGATATTTACGTCTCCCGCGTCTCCTTTATTTCTATTTCCTTAGTTTCTTCCTTTCCTCCTTCAAAATCAATTCAAAATTCTTGCTAATTACACAGAACCTCATTTATTATTACTACTCTATTATTAATATTTTATTTTCCTTCTCCTTCCTTTCTCAAACATGGCATATGTATTGTTAACATTATTTAAAATTGTGTATTATTGCATTTTTGAAGAAACCCGAAATTGTTTCTTCACAGCACTTATGTACCCATAAAGTGTTTGTGAATAATAATAATAATAATCACCACATCACGGTACAAAGCCACCTATATATACTTGCATAAGTAAATCCGAATTATAAGTTCAGAGAGTCCTACAACAGTGAGTGAACCACACTTGACATCCTTCGGCATTCTTGTCGAGACGATTGAAAGACAGTGAATAGTGAAAAATCACTTTCGGCTGGGAACCCCTAGCTAAGTATCGTGCTGTAAGGTACTTGCAATACTTTGTGGAATGACGAGAGTGCACTCAGTTCACCGTCACACATACGTTGCACTTCAAGAATGTTGTATATTTTTTTGCAAAATGCTGTCGCCAGTCTGTAGTGTTTTTATGTCCCGTTTACTGTCACGTGATTGATTTGCCAATCGAAATGCTACTTATACAATCCTAGTACTGTGGCAAACCATTCACGTCCGACCAGTATGAGGGGCCAGTTGTCCCTATTGGTCCTGTGTTCATCAAGCCCTTCCAGTTGAGTCCAAAAAATCAATGACAGCCATCATACCTGGTTTATATATCAGGCAAACAGACCGCATCATACTATAAAATAAGAAATGATATTTATGCAAGATCAAGCCCAATGTCTCTGTGAACGTGGGAGACGTTAGCTAATAGACAGAGTACAATTTAGGGATAGTAAATTGTATAATAATAATCCTTATGTCAAAATAAAGCTTGTGACAAGAGGAATATAGATATACATAATCTAGTTATTGGATATGTATATAATATCAGTGCATAAATAGTTATTAGAAGTTACCCGTAATATAATCTTCACTAGGATATAACAAATACCCTTATGACTTTCTTCATCATGAGGTCAACTAATTTACCCTTGATGGAATGAAACTTGTTCTAACGTCAGCATTGACAGGCTGAAGGCCGTTTACTTAGAAGGCAACAACTATTCAGCTTGATTAGTATACTCTCGAAACATCTGGTATTTGTCAAATATATCTTCCAACTTCACTTCTGACTTCTGATTTGAATAGGTTTGGCATCCACGATCATAAGGGCGTTACGGACTGTGGAACTATCAAGAGCTGAATATCCGCGACATCTATGCATGAAAATAATTTATATTAAACTTTTATCTTCAGCCCGTATCATGGCAAGTTATACGGTTTTTGGTAAAATAGTTGGGAATCGATATGACTTGGGATCAAATATGGGTTTAAATTTTTTTCCGTAAATTATAAAACGTAAACGGAAAGCGTTGGATAACACTGTCAGATACAATAATTTACAGTAAGTTGCAGCTCTTTTCGGCTAACCGTTAATGATAGGTTTAAAGGTGTCAGGGATACTCTGTGCTTGACAACGCTTTTATTCTCAACTTTTTTTATAATTAGGGATCCCGAATCCAATCAGACCAGAAGTCAGAGTTGAGGAAGTTTGAAGATATATCTGGAAGATGGTTGATTTATCGATAAAAATATAAGCTGAGCTGACTAGCTGATGCATAGTGATGCATAGGAAGCCATGAGTTTCCAGCTGAATGTTAGAGTTTGTGTACATCTACGAATCCTGAGTCCTACTGACCATGTAATGAAAACAAATAAGAGTATATCGAAAAAGGCATAGCTAATTCGTGTATATCTGACAATATGGTTGTTTGAAAAGAATCCGCAAGTTCTCAAATTTCGACAACACCTCAACCAGTAGCACATTTTATGATTGAAATATGCCAACCCAGTCAAATCATAAGTCGAACGCAAAGAGGTTCTGTAGCGTCGTGCTAGTTTGGCGAGGCCTCCAATTCTGTGGTGCCGCAATTCGTTAATCGTTTACTTCGATAACCGTTATAATTCTAATCTTAACGGCGCGTAAAATCAGAAGACAAAGGATTTCAGCAAATACAGTTTATTGTCGAATAACTCAGGTCAGAAAGTTAGCAACACCTGAGCGAATAATAACGAGCGAGTGAACAGGCGAATAAGCGAAGGAAGCGAACGAGGCAGAAATGACATGCAATGGAGATGGCTGGTAAGCCAACTCGAGAGCGAGGCGAAAGATGATGCGTATTGGAAATGGCTGGGAAGTCAACTCGAGAGTGAGGCGAAAGATGATGCGTATTGGAGATGGCTGGGAAGCCAACACGATTTAAGCATGCGTTAATCAACATTTATAGTCGGACAAAAATGAATGACGGACATGTGATAGGTAGGATAAGAAGGGTACATACACATGCGCTCATATAACAAGGTAGTCAAGGTTAGTAAGCGAATAATAAACAAGATCAAAATATGACTCATAATGGATAGGCGAATTGGCTTGGCCAGTAACTAGAATAAAGTATATGGGCTTAACAAATAAACTGATACTACAGTTCAAGGATATATTTGATGGGCTAATGATATACCGAGAACTGATAAATTTAATCTAACCAGCGGTCGTAGGTGATGTGAAGCACGGTGTATCCACTTATGAACTGGTGCAGATGCATTATCGAGATCCCTCAGCTAGGTGAGTCCATTAAGCCTAAAGCGGTCAGCGTCAAACGTCGAATGCTTACAAGGCTGCTGATTTTACTATTTACCGCTACACTTGAGTCATTTTTTCACATAAATTTTTTAATTTGCACTTACTTTAGAAGGGACTTTAGCTGATTGTTAAAACAATATTTGATGGCCCCCAATGAAATCGGAGTTAAGGACTATTGCAGAAAGTTACCTTTATGCATTTACCGGTACTTCCATAATAGGAATATTTTACTTGAATAGTTGTCGATGCAATCACTTAAAGAAATTTAGTGACATATTTGATTGTGAGATGAAATTTCTATCCATACTGAGGGAAGCGGCAAGTTGTCAGGTGTTTTTCTGTCTCTCGGTCCAAGGACAAAATGAGCGCGAAATTGAGCGGTTCTGTATTACTCGTTGGAGCAGGTGGTATCGGGTGTGAGGTCTTGAAGAATTTAGTTTATAATGGGTTCAATAACATTACAATTGTATGATACTGCATTTCGTCATCCTACGTGGATTTCTAGGTGGACCTTGATACCATCGATGTAAGCAACTTAAACCGACAATTCCTGTTCAGTAAGAAGCATGTTGGGCGTTCGAAAGCAGAAGTTTGTGGCTAATTTTAGTATTATTTCTGACTCAGACTGCCAGGGACAACGTATTGGCATTCAAGCCAACCGCTCATATTGTTGCGTATCACAAAAGTATATTCAGGTATTTTTCTTTCATTGAAATTTTCCATTCAATTCTAGCTCGTCATTCAACTCTGAATTCTTCGGAAAGTTTTGTGTTGTTTTCAACGCCTTGGATAATCTTGGTAAGTAGTAGACGTGTTCGATTTTTCTGTTTAAACTAGCATTTGTTTCAAAACTTTATATTTTTTTATCGCGTATACGTTTAAAAGATTTCTGATTTTGTGTTGCGTAATAGCATCGTAGTCCTGCTTACTTTCAATAGGTAGACTGAGAAGTTCAATTGTTACAAATCTTATTTTGGTAAGTGTTTGTATCGAACTTTTACGTGCATCGAGTAAACATATTCATAAACAGAATATTATCGATTGTAAATAATAAACAGCCTCACTACAAATAAAAGTACTTTCATAACACTGACAGGACCCTGGTCCTGCACTCACCCTGGGTAGTGAGTGGATAGAAGTACTCGAGTCTGTGTATTTTGGTAGTTGTATGTGCTAGTGGTGGCGTGAGTGATGAAATCGATTCACGTATAGTGAAAGCCAGAGCGGCTTATGTCAATCTAGACCATCTTTGGCGCGTTCGTGATGTCGGTCTGGCTGTAAGAGCTGGTGAGAGTAGTTTTATTCTATGCCTGTGAAACCTGACCTCTCCAAGTTGAGGATGTTAGACAATTCGCTGTATTTGATAATCGTTGTTTCCGAAGAATTGCTGACACCCAGTGGCAACACCATGTTATTCATTCAGAGGCTAGGCATCGTGTGTTCGGGCACAGCGATGATAATCAAATTGGTGTCACCATCTTGAAACATCGACTTCGGTGGCTTGGACATGTTCTAGAAGTGTCGTCTCAGAATTCCTCGCCGTGTATAATTTACTGACACTGGGACCGGTTGGATAGATCGAGGAGGTTGTTAGTGTATGACATGGTGTCGTGGTATAAAAAAAAGCTGCAAAGGGCTGGCTTCTGTTGGTCATTCCCGACTCCCTGGCTGGGGTCCGAGAGATGGTGCAACACAGTAATAGTTTTTCTTGACTTGAAAGCATCATTTGACTCTGTAGACTGAGAGGCTCTGTGGCAGTGTCTGTCATTGAAAGGTGTACCTCAGAAGTACATAAACCTTGTGAAGGCTTTTTACTCGAACACTACTAGTCGAGTGAGAGCTTCTGGAGAATCGTCATTTTACTTTAAAACCTAACGTGGTGTCTGGCAAGGCTATGTCCACTATCTCCATTTTTGTTTAAATTCATCATAGACCTACTGCTGGAAATAACACTCTCTTCGACTGAATTTTTAGGAATTGATCTCCTGCCAAGGGGCCCACCGATCGACTTAGAATACTCAGATGAAATAGTCCTGTTTAGTGGAGACACTGACAAAATACAGAGTCTTTTGGTAGCGTTGAGTAACAATGCCAGGATATTTGGAATGCGTTTCTCCCTTTCTAAATGCAAGTTGTTTAATCAGGACTGGCCAGCATCAACACCTGAATTGCGGATAGGGAGTGAAGTAGTCGAAAGCGTCGACAACTTCACTTATCTTGAAAGTCTGATCAGCACTAATGGGTTGGTGTCTGACGAAATCTCTGCAAAGACTCAAAAAGCTCGTTTGGCGTTTGCTAACTTACGTCACCTATGGCGAAGACGAGATATCCGTCTATCAATTAAAGGACGAGTATACTGTGCAGCAGTTCGCTCTGTTCTACTTTACGACTGTGAAACGTGGCCATTAAAAGTAGAAGATACTCGTAAGTTACTAGTATTGGACAACAGATGTCTTAGAAATATTGCTCGCATCTGCTGGTATCACCGGGTAAGTAATAGTGAGGTTGGACACAGGGTATTAGGGAATGATGGTATATCAGTTGATGAGGTCATGAATCTACTGAGATGGTTGGGCCACGTGTTACATATGCCTGAACACCGATTACCACGACGCGCAATGCTGACTAGTGTAGGGGATGGTTGGAAGAAAGTTGGGGGCGGCAAACCAAGACGTGGCATCAGTGCTTATTTATTAATTATTTATTTAAACACATATATTGGTACAAAAGGGCACCAGGTACATATGCGCCACACAAAATAATGAAAGTAGCAAGAGAAGGGATGAAAAGATAAGGCGGACTGAAATGTACAACCAGAAGACTCTTTCAGTTAGGAAAGTTAGAACCATTCTTTATGTAGAAAGTAAAAGAAGGTTGCAGCAGGATCGCCACTGGCTTCGATTCTGAGCCATATCTGATAACGTCTCTAGCCACTGTGTTGCACCATCTCTCGGACCCCAGCCAGGGAGTCGTGAAGGTCCAACAGAGCCCTTTGCAGCTTTCTTTCATGCCACGACACCATGTCATACACTGACCTCCTCTCCGCTTTTTCCAACCAGTCCCAGAGTCGGCAAATAATGCACGACGTGGAAGTCTCTGGGACGACATTCGTAAAACATGTCCAAGCCACCGAAGTCGGTGTTTCAAGATGATGACACTAATTGAATTATCGTCTCGGCGCCCGAACACACGATGCCGAACCTCTGCATTACTAACATGGTGTAGCCACTGAATGTCAGCAATCCTTCGGAGACAACGATGGTCGAACACAGAGAGACATCTAACATCCTCAACTCGGAGAGTCCAGGTTTCACAAGCATAGAGCAAAACTGCTCTCACCGACGCGTTGTAAATCCGACCTTTTACAGCCAGACTAACATCACGAAGGCGCCAAAGATGGCCCAGATTGGCATAAGCCGCTCTGGCTTTCATTATACGTGCATCAATCTCATCACTCACGCCACCACCAGCACTTATGTAGCTACCTAGATACACGAACTTCTCAACTACTTCAATCTGCTCACCGTCCAGGGTGAGTACAGGATGAGAATCCTGCCAGTCTTGTAAGAGTACTTTGCACTTGGAGGGTGCAAAGCACATGCCGTACCTGCGGACTCTGATCGCCATCTGATTAAGTGCGAATTGCATGGCTTGAGCATTATCGCACAGTAAGACAATATCATCCGCATTCTCGAGGTCGAGAAGTCGTTCTCCAGGCAACATATCCACACCGCCATTACTTACATCCATCAGAGCTGTTTCCAGGATGTCGTCGATAGCAAAGTTGAAGAGAAATGGTGAGATCGGGCAACCCTGTCTAACCCCACTGCTCGAATGAAACAAGAGAGAAAGGTGGTTGTATGCCCTCACTCTGCCTGAGGTGTTCGTATACAGGGCCTTTAAGATGTTAATGAACTTCTCAGGCACACCCTTCTTCAATAGACAATCCCAGAGAACAGTCCTGTCCAACGAATCGAAGGCCGCCCTGATATCAAGAAACACTACGATTGTTGGCCTGCGATAAGTATGATGGTGTTCTAACATTTGGCGCAGGGTGAAGATGTGATCAATGCATTCTCGACCAGAACGAAAACCAGCCTGTTCCTCGCGATTCAATCGTTCTCGGGTTTTAAACAACCTACGAAGAATGACGAAAGCCAATAGTTTGGACGCAATCGGAAGTAGACTTATCCCTCGATAGTTATTGCAGGAACAATGTGAACCCTTTTTAAAGATAGGGACGACTATTGACTCATTCCATGATGTTGGAACACTTTCTTCCTCCCAAACCTTTGCAAACAATACCGTCAGTTCCTCAGCCAGAAAGTCACCAACATCTTTAAAAAGAGCCGGAGGTAAGTCATCTGGGCCCGTTGATTTGTAACGTTTCAGGAGTTGGAGTTCCTTGCGGACTAACGCCTCGTTTGGTGGATCAGTCGTCACCGGCCATGGGGGGCAGGACAAGCTGGTTGATGTTGCCGGAGCAGCAGGCCAGTTGAACTGCCCTTCGAAGAATTCCGCCCATCGTCCAAGACGTCGAGAGGTGTTAGTGATTGGCATCCCATCATCCTAGTAGATTGTTTCACTCACACCAGACTTCTTGCTGCCAGTGGCTTGGATGAGTTGGAAGAGCTTCCGGCAGTTACCAGATGCAGCTGCTGCTTCCATCTCATTAGCACGCTCCGACCACCAGGCTTCCCGGTCCTTACGCAAGCTTTGCCCAATTTCATTACGTAACAGCCTTCGTTTGTGGTCGAACTCACGGTCACCCGCAGTAGACTGATGGGCTTCCATCAGTTGTAAGGAGCCAGAAGAAACCCAGTGCTTGTAAGCGGGACGTTTCGCGAAGCCGCAAGCGGTTTTACTCGCCATTTTCATGCAACCAATGCTAATCTATACTTTTCGGTGGAATGATAGCTAGCCTAGAGGCTAGCTCCGCTCGATACTTACTTGCAACAGAACTTGCAGACAGTTTACTAATATCAATCCGTTGGTGGTGGTCAATCCTTCGGCCACTGAAAAGTAAGGTGAGATTGGCGCAGACCAGGGCATGATCAGACTCCAGATAGGTACTCCAAAAGGAGCGGCAATCTTGTACACAACCACGCCGGCGGTAGCTGATCGCGATGTGATCAATCTCAGTCCAGGCTTGGGATGCAGAGGGAGGACACCAGGTGGCACACCGGCGATGACTGTGCCGGAAGTTAGTGCTGGCCAGAAACAGGTTTTGGTCTGTGCACAGTTGCAGCAAACGGTTCCCGTTATCTGTTCTGCGACCAACAAGTCCCCATCGGCCACCTAAACGACTCTCTTCTGTGCCCGACCTGTGCATTCAAGTCTCCGGCTAGTACTACAATATCTGTCGAACGCGCCTTCTGGAGAAGAACTGTTAACTGATGGTAAAACTCATCCTTGATTGCATCCGGGCTGCAATCTGTCGGGGCATATGCGAAGATGACGAAAAGACACCGTTTCTCACGCCGGTTTCTTCTCACTTTGATGGAACTTTCTAATCTAACAGCACATAACCGACTGTTAATGGGGATCCAATCGATTAGTGCTGCTTCAGCTCTAGCGCTTAGTGCGACACCAACGCCAGCAAGACCAGACGAAGATGCCACTGGGTCCCCGGATAAGCGCACGTGGAACAAGCTTTTCGAGGCGACAGATGGAGAGCGGATTTGTAGTACTTCACTAGAGTTTTGAATACGGGTCTCGGATAGACAACAAACATCAACATTAAGACCTTCCAAAGACATAGCCAGCCCTATCTGTTGTCTGATATGCATTAGTGTGCGAACGTTGAAGGAAGCCAGCTTGAACGGCGTACGTGGTTTCAGAAAGACTGCCTCAGTATTCATTATCGGTGGAAGCATTCACTTTCAACCAGACAGTGACTGGAGATCGTTTAGATAGAACAGATTTTCCACCATGGGCGAGCTGCTGCATAAGTTGAAAAGGTAGTGTACACAAATTGGGCATAAAAGGAGGTGAGTTAGCGATATGGTAAATAATAATAATAATAATAATAATAATAATAATAATAATAATAATAAAGGTAATAATAATAATAATAATGTAAATTGTCTTGCTTCTAGTATCAGCAGGGATAGTATCGTCAATAGAGTTCATCATTTCATTTATTTGTGTGTGGGCTGTGATACTGCCCGGGTGCCCAAACCGAAGCAGGTCGTTTTCTTAGGGGAGCACACCCCGAGCCTTTGACCAAATGGTCTGATCCACAAGGCAGTGGAGCATCGTGAGGAGATGCAGTCCCATGGTAGCCGTTGACCAATGATAGGTTCGTCCGCCATTCGTTCCATCAGGATACTGGAGCCCATGTGCACCATTGGTTTGGAATCAGGGTTTTCCAACTTCCCTAGGTGGACCCTCCGTGTCCACCAATCCGGTTAAAGCGCCGGACATTCGCTTTTCGTCCTCTCACTTTTGTGAACAACACCGGTGCCACGAGAAGGCAGTGAGTAGGACTTCCCTGGTAGAGGCTATATATTCTCTGGCCATGTGAAAGCATTTCGAGAGGGAAAGTAGACTCTCCCCACTCTCGGCCGTACCAGGGCATTTGGGGGCACTTAAAATCACTAACTTCTAGTCTGAGCCATGTTGGTGAATGCAGACTTCTTGGTTGTGGTCTTAGTGACTATCGTAACCAATGGCTAGAGACTCTAGGTGACGTCTCAGAATCGATCACAATAGCGTAGGTGTATACACTCTCTGTGTTCCCTTAAATCTTGAGATTAAAGTTGCTTCATATCTTTCTTTCTTTTATCCTGTAATATATCCTTATATACAATCTTTCTTTCATATAATACCACCAATAAATTAACTACTTTTGTGAATTCGGTGTACATCTTGTTGTGGTAATGATGTATGGCAACTTGGACGGATGCATATATGTGCCTGATCTTACGTTGTAGCTGACTGACTCTAGGCAAATGTATTTAATATTTTCTTTGACTTAGATATGATATGTAGGTTCAAATAAATTACCTCTTGAATTTTGTTATATCCCGTTATTTTATTTCCCATTTTTTGTCCCATCCGTTTTTCTCTCGTTATAATAAGAAAAAGCTTGTAACCACCTATATGAGAACATTATCTTTGACACCATACTGATATTATTGGTGATCAAACAAGTAAAAGGGATTGTATGAAATCTGTTCTTCAAAGAGTAGCATTTATGATTTCTTTTTGATTGTTTATGGTCCTACATTCATATTCCCGTTTTTAACTTTTATATAGCTGCAAGAAAACATGTGAATCGTATGTGTATATCGGCAAAGATCCCCTTAATTGAGTCCGGTACAGCTGGTTACTTAGGACAGGTCGAACCGTTAATTCCTGTAGTTGAAATGAGTGAATTGCAGACCACCAACACAGAAGCAAATCAAGCGACAATCTATCGTACGGGATGTTATGAATGTCAGCCTCGTGGTTTAGGTCAGCGTTACTATCCAGCTTGCACCATACGTAACACTCCATCTGAGCCAATTCACTGTGTTGTTTGGGCAAAGTATTTATTCAAGTGAGAATAATTTTGAACTTTCCTAAACTTGTATCCGGTTTATACCGACAACTTTCTCTTGGTGGAAATAAATTTGTATTATCTGGACTGGTTTCTACCAGGAAAGCATTATTCATTGCTTTCATCCAAAATGTATTCACTTAATAACTGAATTGTCAGCCTCTTTATGTCTACTTTGTAAGGTCACAAACTATTGATTCCATGTTAAAAGTAGGATGAACTGCTAGATATTGTGAAAAAGTATAGCATACTGTGGCATAGTGTGGCGCATATATATCTGGTACCCCCTTATACCAGTATTTATGTGTTTAAATAAATAAATAAATACTAGTATATTCTGGTCAATAGCTTCACTAGAAGTACTAACAAAATTACTCAATTGTGTTACTAATTAGACTCATGTCAAGTTCTTAGGTTTAAGGCAGTTCTGTAAGGTAACTGTGTGCTTTGTTATAAGTTCATGTTCAGTACTGCGGACCATACAAACTCTCTCGTTCTTGATTATTTCCACCTTAGATTTTCGGTCTTAACTTAGTGAAAATCAAAGTGTAATAAGAGATGTAAAAATAATAATGAAATTCAATAATATCTTTGACAAATCCCACAGCTCACTATCATATTATAACAAGCTTCTTTATGTGTTCCTGGTAAAGAGGGAATTAAAAATTCAGCTTATTTTAAATCTTCGGTGGCAATATATTTTCATTTTGATTAAATCTTTACAAAACGGTGATTTTTTATTATTAAACGAAAGGCTTGATGGAGATTTTTGAATTACTTACTTTTTACCAGTTGAACAACTTTAAGCATTTGAAAGCATTGAATCACTTTTACCCTAGTGGTCATGTAGTATCATTGCGTTATTTTGTACGGTCCAGTTACTATATGTGCTTCCGTACAGTATATCATACCTATAACATAACATAAAGACTGAAACGAGTATGAACTTTTTAATTATTAAATCAAATTATATTGTAGAAAAATCATGGATATTTATATAATTGTCCTCCCTATACTAGATAACAGGATGTGGTTGAGACCTTGATTAAATGAATAATGAACTCTCAACAAATTGTCTTACCCACCGTTTTAATTTGACTTTTGGATCTTGGATATACTCCCTCACTTAGGAGTCAAAAATTTGGATGATATAACTATCCAGAGTCCTTTGTAGTCCGCCAGGTCTTCAGTTAGTGTCATCTGTTATTTAAACTAACTGAAACTTGATGATTGTTTTTATATTTTCCATTTTCTAGTCAGTTATTTGGTCAACCTGATGTGAATGATGAAGATGTATCTCCGGATTTCTCTGATCCAAGTCTACAGAACCATGATCGTAATCAGATTAATGATGAATTATTGCCGGTTAAAAACGATCTTATCAATAAATCTGATGATGTGTTAAATACAGATAGTAAAGCGATTGTAAATTCAGTTAAACCTGATCAAATTACTTTAAGAGAATGGTTTCACATTCTGTGGTCTAGTAATGAAAATGATCAGTCTGGTTTAGAAAATTGTAAAATTTCATCTGGTGCCATTTCACTATCTTGGAGATTATTTCATCATGATATTGTAACATTGGTTAGTATGCGTGATTTATGGGTCGACCGTCAAGATCGTCGAGAACCGAGTCCTTTGGAAAAGACTACCATGAAAGATGCATTAGAAAAAGATTCAAGTGGTAAGTATTTTGTTTTCATTTTGGAATTAATATTTCTTTTTCTTTCGATTAAGTTTTTAATACCAGTTTTAATCTTTGTAAACATGTGCGTTGATGTCATCCAAACAGTTAAAATTCTCACTATATTGCAGTAATGTTTGGAAATTTATTGTTTAAATCTAATAAAATCATAGAAAAAATCAACCATCACCTTCCAAGACACGTGATGTTTGATTTTCTAGGTGTAGTTTGGGTTAGAGCTACGGGTGACCAAACCAATATATAGCATCGTTTTATAAAGTCATTAACTATTGATCCGAGCCATGTTACTAGATGCTGCTATATGTGTGTAGCTTGATTAAAACGTTTCCTATCGATCTAGTATCTCTTCATGCGTGCTTCTCCGCTCCGTTTTTTTTAAAGTATTTCAAATGTTCTTTTTTTATATCACTACATCGTTTGGATCTTTCTTGTTATTTTAGTCTCGTTATGCTAAGGTGGTGTAGAAACTTGAGGAAATTCAAATATATGTTAGGCTTTGCGATGATGTGTGTCTGGTAAATGTAGACTACCTAGTCGGGGTCCTTACGATTACTGTAACTAATGGTTGGAGACGGTTCGAATTAGTCAATCGTGCGGTGCATTCACTCTTTTTGTTCCTCTAGATTTTGAGTTTGAAAAGTATTTAATACCTTTTATCCGACGAATTCCTTCTATCTTCCCAAACAATATTGACTGTGGCATTTAAAAATACAGGATATTCGTAGGTTATTAGTATTCGGTCATGAGTGTTTTCGAAACCGGCGGTATATTTGGGAATCGTTAAGTTGACAGTTCTGAGGTTAGATGCAGAGCACTAAGTAAGTATTGTAATTCGATTGACAATATAGTAAATCTTTGATTGAGATGGTCGGGAAGTGTGTTGTGTATGCTCATCCACCGACTCTCTCGCCGCACGAAGGTGGTTAGTGTAGGAATAAGTTGTGAAAAAGCTAGGGATGGCCAGAGAAAGTTGTGACATTAGTCCATGAAGATATTAACTGTTTGGCTAATCTATATTGCCTGGTGTAGGATTACCTGATCGTCGTTGCCAATGCTTAGAGATTGCGAGTGACATGATTGAAATTCGTTCTCAATGGCACAGATGCGTTCACACTCTTCCTTCAAATACTAAGTATTTCAATTCGCCATAAGTTTTTTATCTCACTAATTTATATTTTATTCTCGAGTCGTATATTCGATGCCTAGTCTTTTTTATTACCACTAATACTGTTACTATTTCTGTTACTCTAAGATTCATCCTGATAATTTCATCTCTCTGTGCTAAAAGGTTGTGGCAACTTAAACCGATGTACACATATGGTAGGTCCTACGTTGTACCTATGCCTGACACTGCATAATTCATCAATAATATCATTTTTTTCGCATAAACTACCGTTAACTAACTTCAGTTTTTGTTCAACGAAATCCATACTTAAATCTAATCACAATATCAGATGAATTATTGGATTCAGCATGTATCAGTGAATTACGTGATCAACGTAGACTATCTACATCGGGTTGGCTTCGTATTTTCTTAAAATCAGTTGACAAACTACAGAAACAAGTAGAAGATGGTGAAGGAGATAAATACTTAGTATGGGATAAGGTAATTCATAATGTTATGTCCTGGATTTCTAGTTTTTTTCGATGACAATTTGATATGGAGCCTTTTATGTCAAAAATATTTTCATGATGATTTAGGTTTTGCCCTTGTTGTTTACTTTTTGCAAACTAAGTCTCAATCAACTGACATTTTTAAGTAAATATTTACTATCATTAGTGACTACAGATTGGTATGGGGTTGCTTCGTAGTTGAAGTGCACCTGACTTTTAATAAATAGGCTGCAGGTTTGAATACTCTTCACTGCTCCCTTTGATGTGAGTAGCCGATTAGTATCATTATTCCTGATGTCTTAAGTGTAACTCGGAGCCATAATATATGAATCTATGTGTGGTAAATAAGTCATACTAGCAATCACACCATAACAACACTTTATGATGGTAGAATTGTATGTGAAGTTCTCAATAAAAACGCGTTTATGATTAAATTACTTACCTGAAGTATTACATCACAATAGTGTGTTCGGTATAAGAAACGGATGTGTAATGATAATCAAAAAGAGTTTACTGATATTTGTCCATCATCTTTTCATAGAACAACGCCTATCCAGATATCTAATTCAGTTTAGCCTTTTTTTCAGGTCTAATTGCTATTTTATACATTTTCATACAATTTTATACATTCTTCTAAAGTCACTGCGGACCTCCATATCTCTAATGCCTAATCATCGTCATCATCAAAACTCTATACAACGAAGTAAAACTTTAATTTATAAGCCTTAAGTCACATCGTATCGTTTTCTGTGTGATAGTTAACTATGATAATATGTAGTTGTCAAAACTAAAGCTAATGAAGTGCGATATACACTTATTGCCTAAATAGTTGAAAGTCAAGCGCTTAAGCAAATGAACTATCGTTTTTAAATTATCTGTTAGTTACACAGATTTATGATCTATTCCTACATTAACATTTACCATAAAATGACTGTATCAATGCAATCTGCACAGTATGATGGATGCATTTATGTCGACAAAGACTAATCAAAATTCCATCCTAAATTTTGAAAATAAAATAATTCAACCGTTTACTACAATTGATACAAACATCATACTTGTTAAACCAGTTACGATGGTTATATGGACTCAGTAGCTTGTTGGATAAATCGTTGTGTGTTTGAAACAAAAGGTACTGAATTCAAGTCCCATTGTGGTCATCAACATGGATGGAAGTACATCCAGGTGACGGGTCCCAAATAACACAAAACACACATCCTGGATCCCACTGATCGCCACAGTTCGTTTATTTAATATTACTTCATATATTCATATTACCGTTACTACTATCACCATCATTTTCAATTGTAGGATGACCAGGAAGCTATGGATTTTGTCGCCTCGGCATCAATTATTCGATCACAGTTATTTCATTTACCCGGTGCTGATCAGTTAAACAGATTTATTATTAAATCTTTAGCTGGGAATATTATCCCGGCTGTAGCATCAACAAATGCCATCGTTGCTGGTCTTATGGTACTACAAGCTAGACATATTTTATCTAAAAAGTTTGAGGTAATTTTAATATTGATTCCAATATTTATTTTTCTTGTATATACCTCTCTTATTTATGGTTAATCAGTGTAAAAGTAGTTTCGAAAAGAGCTAGGGGAGGTCAAACCAAGACAGAGCACCAGTTCATGAAGTCATCAAGGTATAAACGATAACGGTAATCATTGGCTGGAGGCTTTGGGCAACGTTGTTCAGAATCGATCAAAATGAACCAAATGGATTCACTCTATTTATTCCTCTGGATCTTGGATTTGATTATTCCTTAATACATACTTTTCCATTCCATTAATAATAATAAATGAATCTAATTCCATTGTGGTCAATTCTGTTCCATATCAGTGAATTTCCCCGATCTCTGATCAGCTTTATAATTCCAGATTACTTGAATACAGCTGTTTCCAGCAGTTTATGACAGTCGAATGATGCTACCTTTTTATTTAACTGATCCTAGTCTTATTCTCTACTAATCGACTGAGTCATTTTCCGAATTTCAGTTTTAATTTGAAAGAGTACTTTCAGAGTTATGTAAGTAAAACGGACTGATGCTTTTCTACACAACTAATTTAGCCTCATTTTTCCTGTTTGGAAATATGGGTAAAGTGATAATTAAACTCATGTACATTTTATTTATTGGCCCCGAAATGCCCTGGTACGGCCGAGAGTGGGGAGAATCACTCTCCCTCTCCAAATGCTCTCACATGGCCACGCGTATATAGCCTCTATCATGGAAGTCCCACTCACTGCATTCTCGTGGCCCAGGTGTTGTTTACGAAATTGAGAAGACGAAAAGCGAATATCCGTAGCTTTAACCGGGTTGGTGGACACTGCGAGTCCACCTAGGGGAGTTGGAAAACCCTGATTCCAAAGCACTGGTGCACATGGGTTCCAGTATCCTGAGGAAACAAAAGGCGTATGAATTAATCGTTAGTGACCGGTTACCATGGGACTGCATCTCCTTAAGTTGCTCCACCGCCTTATGGATCAGACCTTCAGGTCAAAGACTCCGGGTGTGCTCCCCTAAGAAAACCACCTACTTCAGTTTGGGTACGTGGGCAGTATCACAGCCCTCACACAAATCGAATGAGATTTGTGAGGCTCATATTTATCTGGTGCCTCCTTGTACCAATATTTATGTGTTTAAATAAATAAAAATAACTTATTTTAAAAAGAAAAGCAATTCAATAAGTAAGCATCACAAATACTTTTCGAATGGTAGTGAAAACATTTTTTCATTATCATATCAAATAAAATTTGCACTGTTTGGCATCTATTTTGTCGATTGTTGTCTTATGTTACTAAATACATTCTTAGTAGTAGTTCCTCATTGGAGCTCCGTCAACGATGTCAGTTATTCACCCATCTATAGTTGCTCAAATAATAAAGGCTAATTTCAGTATATTTTATTGTGCTTGTAAAGAATTGTGTTTGTAACTGTATGTGCGGTATATTATCTGTTGCACATTGTCATTGTGCAACATTTTGCGTTTAGTATCGAGGTGATCTACTACAGAGAACACTAAAATAACTAATTTTTATATTTAAATCAGTAAGTTGTCAACAAAAGAGGCTTATTTCAGTCTCATTACTATTTTTTTCTCCAGCGTATTCGTTCTGTTTACATACATCGTCGACCAACTGGTCGTCGTGGCAATCGTCGTCTTGTAGTCCCTGTTGAGCCTGCACCACCGAATCCATCTTGTTTAGTGTGTAGTGATTCTGTTAGAAATTCTCAATTGCATTTACTCTGTGCACCGGAATTATTAACACTGCGTATTCTACGTGATCGTATCTTGATACGACATTTAGGTATGCTTGCTCCAGATGTCGAGGTACCTGATCGTGGCATTATACTGATATCAAGTGAAGAAGATGAAACAGATGAAGGTTGGTTTACCACTTTTCTCCATTACCATTTTAGTTATTGATCTAATTTCTTTCTCAATAAATTTACTACACGTATACGTATCCAGCCTTAAGTAATTCGTATAATTGTAAAAATGACTGGAGATTACTTCACATTTACCGACATGTTGATATGTTCGATCAGTCTTTGTTGAGGTATATACATTATGGCACTCGATTTTTGTTATAAATTTTCAGTACATTTAGATTGTGACCAACATTAAGGTCCACACCTGAAATTCATTCCTTAACACTTATAGCAGAATAATACTAACCGTTACGAATACGCACCATACCCTTCAAACACATTAATGACTATGGACCCAGTAGCCCAATAGATAACGAATGAAGGTTCTAAGCGATAGGTACTGTTTTACTCAATTTTGTTATCGAAATGATTTTAGTTATTTGCTCAATGAAATTTTATATATTGTGGTGTGTTGTTGTCTTGTGTATTTTGTATATATAACTATGATAGTCTAACTCATGAAAGGTGTATCAATAACCACTCATCTGGGTCTCAGTTGTCTTGTTTAAAGACTTTAAAAACGTGATTTACGTAACCTATGGATGGTGTGATATACCGAATCGGATATACACTCGACTGGTCACTGACTGATGTTATGTTTGTCTTGTCGTTTAAGGCTGATTGAATTCTCCTAATCAAATTACAGTGTGGTTACTTGTCTTAGTGGATCGAAATCTCATGACTAAAGGTGGCCAGCAGGAAACGCAATTTCTCTTCTAGTTAGCACCCGTCATCAAAATGTATCTGCAATTTCAAGGGGACTGATATTTTCTGTGTGGTTTGACCCTGCGTCACCAAACTTCGCAACGACTAATCTTCAATTGGACTGAGATGTTCGTTAATGAGCAGTCAATAAGTGATGATCACTGTTATGTTTGTTTAATCGTTTCTAGTGCTAATCTACCATATCTGACTTCGTCTAAACTAACTGCCTAACATGATTGGTGTTAACGCGAGTTTCTGGGTTCTACGTTAATTAATTAATTGGTTTAGTAAATTAGACAAAACAGTACAAAATATATCTTTTTTATTTGTTTATTTAAACACATACATATTAGTACAAAGGGCACCAGATACATATGCGCCACACAAAATAATGAGAATGGGAGGAGAAAAGGGGAAGATGTGCATATAAGGGAAGAAAAAAGAAGGAAAAAAAGAAGAGAAGAGTAATGATGGTGGGAACTGAAATGTACTACCAGAGGAACTCTCTCAGTTAAGAAAGCTATAACCACTCTTTATGAAGAAAGTAAAAGGTTACAGCAGGCTCCCCACTGGCTTCTATTTTGAGCCATATCTGATAACGTTTCTAGCCACTGTGTTACACCATCTCTCGGACCCCATCTAGGGAGTCATGAAGGACTAACACAAGCCAGCCCTTTGCGGATTTCTTTCATACTACGACACCATGTCATGCACTGACCACCTCTCCGCTTTTTCCAACCAACAAAATATATCACAAATTGATTGATTTATTTTGTTTTAATAATTCTATCACTGGTAATTCTTTGCTTGTGTCAACTGTCTTTTTTTTCTCATTTCAGAGACGTTAAATAAAACATTAACTGACTTTAAATTAACACACGGCACTTGTTTACAATGTGATGATTTTCGTCAAGATTTCACTATTCGACTTATTTTATCATGTATTAGTGTAGAGCTAGCTAATAAATTGCCTACTACTTCTGATTTATCAACATTGAATCTTAATCTCAGTAGTCGTTTAGAAGAACAATTGACTAGTGAAGAGCTACAATCTGAGACATGGAGAATTGTAGGTGATATGAATTCCATTTTGCCGAATTCAAAAGATAATACAGTATTAGAAAAGAATACTGAAAAAGAGAACAATGAACATACAGGTAATGAGAGAGCATATTTTTTAAATATATCTATGGGCCTTTTTGTATAAGTATTTGGAAATTAGGTAGGTTATCTTAATCATTTGGGTTTATGTCATTCAAGTGAAAGGTAAAATAACATTAATTACAGTGAAGCTAGCGAGTAGCATAGGACGTTGAAAATGGTATTGACTACACACACATACATACATACATAACATATCGTAACCGCTGCAATCGATGACGATGTCTTTAACTAATTCATGATTGTTTCCTAAATGATTATTATCTAGTACTAAATACTTGCATTCTTGATTCTTTAGTTGGACAGTATTAAACAGTGGTATCATATTTCGGATTCGTCATGAATGGTACTTCGAGAAAGGGCTTTAAAAAGTGTACATTTTAATGTAAATATGCTGCTTTTACAGTTTATCTTGAAAATTGTCGTACTGGTGATGATACAAGCCCCACAAATTGCTCTTTATCAGTTGGTAACTAGTGTCCATATTTTTAGAATATACTTTATAACATCGAGGTGTAGAATACTTTTGCAAGACTGATGGAAACATTTTCCCTAAATGCTTTTCGTTTTGTCACGACTTAGCCTGGTCATAAAATATTGTCTCACAACGTGTTTGTACGCGAAGTCTTGGTTTGTGCCTCCAAAACCTCATTCAGTCAGTCACAATATAGAAACTTCATATGTACGTACATCAGTTCAAGTTACCATACCACATGAGCACAGATATGCAGTTGTCGATTCAAATCCCATAGTGGTAGAAGTAGTAAGAGTATAAGCAGTAATCGGAAAGATTAGCGTTTGAAGATGTTATTGAAGGAGTATATTCCGGTGAAATAAATTTGGAGAGAAAAGATAGAGACATGAAGAATCCAGAAGATTATTATTTGGTAGGACATAAAGAGTGGATGCACCTTCGCCATTGTAAATGATTTCGAGCCATGTCATTCAAGGTCTCTAACCATCGGTTGCTACCATCGCGCGGATCCCAAACAAGTAGTCTACACCTACCAATAGGGCCCAGTCCACTTGTCAGTGACTTCATGGATTTATGCCATGTTTTGCTGTGGCCGCCCCTAGCTTTCTTCCAACCTGCTCTTACACCATAAAACATTGCACGTCGAGGCAGTCGGTGGATGGGCATATGTGACACGTGTCCCAGCTATCTCAACTGATGAAGTTTCACTACTCCATCAATCAATTTGCTATCCTTACCTAGTACCCGTTTCCTAACATCTGCATTACTTACTCGGTGGTCCCAGGATATACGATCAATGCGTCGAAGACACCTATGATCGAATAATAGTAGCTTACGAATATCCTCTACTCTTATCGGTCATGTTTCACTTCCATAAATTAGGACAACACGAACTGCTACACAGTAAACCCGTCCTTTGGTTGCTAGACGGATATCTCACCTATGCCATAAATGACGCAAGTTGACGAAAATTAGACGAACCGTGTGTATCTGTGCTCAGATTTCGTCACAGACCAGACCACATGGGTTGATTAATGAAGCTGTCAACACGCTCAACTACTTCACTCCCTATCATTAGTTCAGGTGTCGATGCAATCCAATCCTGAAGTAACATTTTGCACTTCGAGGGAGAGAATCGCATCCCGAACATGCCTGCATTGTTGCTTATGGTTGTCAGAAGACTCTGCATTTTGTCAGCGTCTTGATCAAATAGAAGTATGTCATTGGCATATTCTAAGTCTAGAAGTGTATCTCCCGGTGAAAGTTCAACTAACTCAAGTGAACTCTCTATTTATTTTGTGTTAAAATGCTCTCAACATATAGTTCCAGTTGGTATAGAACTTTCTTAGAATTTACTATAAACATGAACAATCTGGTTAGCTTTTATTTAACGAGTTAGTTTTCTACGGAATGGGATCGTTAACCTCATGCTAAACCTTCCTCCTTTACCCGGGCTTGGGACCGGCAGTAACTTTAGGAGAGCTAGAAGCGGAGTCAAACATGAACAATACGTGAGCATTATTCTACCTTTTTAACTGCATCATTTTAAAGTGTATGAGACTATAGTCAGAAGGGGTTTTGTGAAGATTTCAGTATTTTCATAGTTGAAATCATGAGTCAATTGAAGCTAGACCACTATGGAAAACTGGACGGCCGTTTCGTCCTATTATGGGACTCCTCAGCAGTGCGTACTCACGATCCCGCACTCGCGAGATTCGAACCCAAGACCTACCAGTCTCGCTCCAGAGCACTACTGAGGAGTCCCATAATAAGACGAAACGGCCGTCCAGTGCTTCCAGGTTTTCCATTATGGTCTAGCTTCAATTGACTTATGATTTGAACTAGGTATGAGATTAATCTCAAAGCGTCTATCTCAAATTATATTTAACTAGATACTCTAATTTATTTCTTTTCAATTATTCTTCTTTTGTTGTTTTCTTTAGATAAATTTGTTCACAATGATGATGATGATACTGAGGATGATTTAATTGAAATTACTGAAGTTTCTATGATCAAATTAAATCAAGATTTGGAAAATGGTGTCAATACTAGTAATACTAGTATTAATAATAATAGTACTAAACGTAAATGTCTTGATGATCAAGACAATTTGAATAGAATAAAAAAGAAATTACGATTTGATAAAGAAATAACAACAGGATCATCATCCATTATCGTACCGGTTGCTGACGACGACGACAATAATGATGATTTAATCATTATTGAATAAATCAATGACATATATATATATATACATATATATATATACCATGGATCTTTGTATGTACTTGTGTGTGTGTTGTCATTTTATATTCTGCAAAAAGTAACCATTTTGTACAAGGTTACATGGTTACTGTTTTGTTTGTTTTGTTCTCCTCTCTCATAATGTTTCATTGGCATTTCTTCTTTTTCAACTGAAAAACTAAAAAACATATACTAGATTGACCCCCCCCTTTCTCTCTTGTATATGTGTGTGTGCGTTTGTATGCATGCCAATTAACTGACTGGTCATTAAATTTTCTTTTTTCTTCATATTTGTTCATCAGAATTTATTTTGTTATAAACTATGTTTGTACTTTTCTACCATTCAACATACATGTATACTTGTGGTAATACAATACAATCTACAATGACACCGATATTTTGTTTTAGTCACAATTGTTTGTTTTGTTTTGATTAGTTTACAAGTTTGTTCTTGGTATCATTGTGTCATGACTCGTCAGAAGGATATATTGTTATATCTGTGAAGAAAAAAAGTATTTACTGTCTTCAGTAAACTTACAATAGTATTCTATATGCTTAGATTGTTGTTGGAGTAGATTTCAAGAAATTTAAGGCGTTACTAAACGTAGGATTATTGTCAGTCGATGAAGTTACTGACTGTTAAACTAAGTTGTATAAGGAGGTGTAAAGTATCTGGTTGCTGTTTGTGTAATAATTACACCTGCTATTTTTCGCTAGTGTTACACATCAAGTCATTCAGATGTTTTCCATTCTGTTACTCACGTATACCATGCTGAGGTTAAACTTATGGTGATATATAAAGATAAGAAGTCGGTTGATGAGGTAGTGAATCGTCATAAACTGAACGATGGTTAACACTTGTATCCTAGTGCACTCAGCCACCTCCTACCTTGTTGTGCAGTGCTTCCTGGTGTAGGAGTAGACTTAACGAAAGCTGGGGGAGACCAAACTAAGAAATATCAGTCTATGAATTCATTGACTGTTGAATTTATCCATGTTGATAGATGCAGACTATCCTGTTGAATTCTTCATAATTATTCATCACCAATGGTTGGTGATGTTTATTAACATGGTCCGGAATAAGTCACAATGACGCAGATGCATTCACCACTCCTAGATCCTGAGTTCCAGGATTGTTTTATGCTATTTATTCTATTGATTATTTTTTTCTTGAATTTTATCCTCTATGACTAGTTCCTTATTTACCATCACTCCTACCACTACTGTAGTATTTATTCTAGTAATTTCATCTTGTATCGATTTGGCGATCAACGCGATCAGTGATCGGAATATTTATACAAGGGATTTGAATGTGTATATGAACGGCGCGAATGGTTCACCAGGGTGTTTGGCACCTGAGTGGTTGCGCCATAGAAGTGGGTTGTACTGTTCGGATTGTAGCGTTGAAGCCTATATAGTGTCTGGTTCTCCTATAGGGCGGGATTGAACTGCACTGCTGGGGTTAAGCCTGGGCAGTGTCTGGCTCTCCTGTTAAACAGGATTGAGCTGTACTCTTTGGGTTGCTGCGTGAAACTCTGGATGGTGTCTGGTTCCCCTAAAAACCAGTGCAAGATTACCCTGGCTCATAAGGGTATATTATATAATAACTGTTGATTTGGCATGAAAGCAAAAGTCAATTTATATATGTACCATTTATTGTTTATGACTGGTTGATTTCAGTACGCAAACTCGTCTTCTTAGAACCTTATTTTTTAACGTTATTTATAAAACTGTTACACTATAGGGTAACGATCCTTATAATTATTTTCTTACGAATTAACCATCACAACCATTTCTATTTGTCATCCTTCACTTTCTATGATATAATTAGAAGTAAAAATTAACGGCATTATCTTCATACTGTAAGAAGTTATAAGAGTCAGTGGTGAATTCTAATATTGAAGTAGATCTTCAACAGAAACTTAAGAAATATAGAGATATCAACTCACTGAAGACAATTGGTGAACGGTTGCTCAAAATCGTGGATTGGTTGAAGTTAGAGATTAACAGCGTTGGATGCCGGCTCAGTGGTCTATCGGTAAAGTGCCCTGGCGCAAGACTGGTATGTCTTGGGTTCGAATCTCGCGAGTGCGAGTTCGTAGATGTACACTGCTGAGGAGTCCCACAATAGGACGAAACGGCCATCCAGTGCTTCCAGGTTTCCCATGGTAGTTTATCTTCAATTGACTCATAGTTTCAACTATGAAAATACTGAAATCTCCAAAAAACTTCTTCTGAAATATATTTTAATCAGAATATTAAATGATTTAACATAATTTAAAACTTAACACTTACAGGTTTTTAGCTGCAAACTATTTATGGACTATTGATAGAGCGTAAGTAATTTTAGAACAAAATCTACAGTGCTTAAATTTCAGTAGATAGGATTTGTTTATCTCCAAGATTACAGATACTTAGAATAGTCTTGGTACCATCGTTTGACTGGGCAATTCGTTTATCTTCTGTTTTTATGATACAGTTTCAACTGTGACCTGTACCACTAGGAATGGAACCAGTTCACCTCTAACTATTCATTATCAAGTAGATTAATTTCGAGTTTGATGTGTCATTGGAATCCAAGACATGCATTCCGTTCTAATTGGAACTAATCAGCTGAATATATTTGCATCCCATTACTGATATTCATGGTTGTACTTGAACTCGTCACCGTTGGTTTCGAACACCAAAGGCATTATACCCTGAATAACTAACTGTCAACTAAGATTGATTAACATTTTATCAAGAGTATCAGCAACAAAATAACTCAAATAGTAAATAGTATTTGTAAAATCTTCTGGTATAGTTATTTGTTAATCGGTTAAACAATTGTCATGAAATCAATCAATAATAGAATAATATTCCGGCCCCCAAATGCCCTGGTACGGCTGAGAGTGGGGAGAGTCCGCTCTCCCTCTCGAAATACTCTCACATGGCCACGCGTATATAGCCTCTATCAGAAAAGTCCTACTCACTGTCATCTCGTGGCAAGGATGTTGTTTACGAAATTGTGAGGACGAAAAGTGAATGTCCGTCGCTTTAACTGGGTTGGTGGACACGGCGCGTCCACCTAGGGAAGTTGGAAAACCCTGATTCCAAACCAATGGTGCACATGGGCAGGATCCAGAGGGAACAAATGGTGTATGAACAAATCATTAATCACCGGCTACCATGCGACTGCATCTCCTTACGTTGCTCCACTGTCTTGTGGATCGGATCTTTAGGTCAACGTCTCCGGGTGTGGCCCGTTAAGACAATCACCTGGTTGCGTTTGGGCATCCGGGCTGTATCACAGCCCTCACACAAGTCAAATGAAATTTGTTTGGTGCATAAGTATGTACCAATATTTATGTGTTTAAATAAATGAATGAATATTTACATAGTACATATATATATATATATATATATATATATATATATATACTTGGCTTCAAGGTGCACTCTAAATGTAAGGACTGCTGATATTAATCCAGTCGCCCGAAAACGAGTTGATTGAAGTTGGATTCAAATCTCCAGCTTATTAACTTTAAGTCGAATTCATTAATCACTGACCTATTGCTCATTAAGCGTTGAACAATCAACTATTCACTGTAATAGATTAGTTGAAAGCGTGAGTCAATTGAAGCTAGACCAGCAGTGAAAACCTGGAAGCACTGGACGGCCGTTTCGTCCTATTATGGGGCTCTTCAGTTTTTTAAACATTTTCTGTTTATTTCTATTTGATCAACTAATTAATATCATTAACCATTGAAAAATCACAATGTCAGTTTACTGATGGAACACTTTAACTTCTTGTTAACTATAAGGTATTACTCTCTTCTCTTACTTATAAATATCGATTCATTTCAAACATTTTGTTAACGAATGATGGGTAACCTACTTTTATCTTTTTTTTGTTTTCTTTTCCACTTTGTATTGGATGAAAGGCTGATCATTTGGAAAAGAGACTCCCACCATTATCTTCATCATCTTCATCAGAATTCAATATAATTTTACAAAAATCTAAAGGTTTTGCAAATGTATTATGTGATACATATTTAGATCAATTAGTTGATAAAATTTTAGCAATTCGTCAAGAATATCCAAATTTATTGGATCATGATAAGTCGATGGAAACAATTCCACAATATGAAACAGTTCAATCAGCTCATTTGAAAGTAGAAGAAACACTTGAAAAAATTCGTCATTTACTTAATAAACATTATGAAGAATATGAAAATAAAGAGAATGTCGCGAACATTCCATGCAATGAATCGTGTACACATTTTGATAAACATGATATTGATGTAAGTATATTTAAGTTTTTTTTTCACAACAGTACTTACTTATGCCTGTTACTGCCCCCAAATGCCTTGGTATGGCCCAGAGTGGGGAGTGTCCACGCTTCCTCTTGAAATCCTCTCACATGGCCATGCGTATATAGCCTCTACCAGGGAAGTTCTACTAACTGCCTTCTCGTGGCGGGGACGTTGTTTACGAAACTGAGAAGACGAAAAATAAATGTCTGGTGCTTTAACCAGGTTGGTGGACACTGCGAGTCCACCTAGGGGAGTTGGAAAACCCTGATTCCAAACCAATGGTGCACATGGGCTCCAGTGTTCTGAGGGAACAAATGGCGTATGAATCAATCGTCGGTCACTGGGACTGCATCTCCTCACGATGTTCCACTGCTCTGTGGATCAGACCTTTAGGTCGAAGGCTCGGGGTGTGGTCCCCTAAGAAAACCACCTACTTCAGTTTGGGCAACTGGGAAGTATTACAACCCTCACAGGGTTGTTACCCGACCGTTGCTGCTACCTTGACGTGGTGGTCGGGCTTGCCTATCGTGATGATCCAATCGAGCTATGCTGGCTGGAACAATCGTTCCTCAAGGTCCTACCATGCCAGACAGGTCGATTGAAGAGCGGTGAGACTAAAAGCAGCAATCCCAAGGTCCGAAGGCGAAGTCGTACTGCTGACTGTACAGAGGTGTGAAAGCAGTAAGGTGTTTCCTTCAGACAACCAGCATGACAGCGATGCTGCCTTCCCACAAGGAGGGGTGGGGTTAGAAAAGGTCGACCCTAAAAATGCACACCTCGCCTTATCCCACGGATTTCTGTCTCCGGCGGTAAGGACTTTTGAAGAACGGAGCTAACACGTCAAAAATCCCCCACAAAAAGGCCGTGCGTGACCGGCCTCAAGCAGATGTCCCTTGGGCACTGCGGTCACGCACCCAGGTCGTTAAGACCAACACTAATCCAACTTCTTTTTCAGGTCCCTCAAGAAATACCCTTCCACGGTGTGGGCAGCCGGGAAGTGATACTAGCCCTCATACCCTTAGCTGCACACAAGACCAAGTTGGTCGCTTTCAAATCCTTCCTACACCTCCTAATAACTCTGTTATCTCCACGACTAACCCTTCCCACGTCCTTTTATCACCTCGCACCGCTAGGGCAAACGATTCGAGTACACAGAACGTTATTTCTGGTCTCCTGAAACCACGCTCTAAACTACATATAGGAACTTTTAATGTCCGAACATTGTGCCAAATAGGACAACAGGCTTCCTTAGCTAGGACTCTAGAATCTTACACCATCGATGTGTGCTGCGTCTCCGAAACGCGCATACAAGATCCGAGTAGTGTCATTCATTTGACCTCACCTAATCAAAATAAAGTTTCATCTCGATACACGCTTCGTGTATCTGGAAGCCCTGACGCTGCTTCCCGTGGCCTCGCTGGAGTAGGTATAGCATTAAGTCCTAGGGCAGAACTAGCTCTTTTAGACTGGATCCCAGTAGACAGTCGTCTATGCGCTGTCCGACTAAACGGATCAGTAAGGACCCGGAAAGATAGGGAAACTCGTCGTTGCCTCTTCGTCGTCTCTGCCTACTCTCCCACTGACTGCAGCTCAGACGATATAAAAGATGAGTTCTACAGGAAACTTTCTGACCTTCTCCGAGAAGCTAGGCGTTCTGATGTTGTAATAGTAGCAGGTGACTTTAATGCTCAAGTAGGTAAACTAAGTGAAAGGGAAAGACACCTGGGTGGATCTTATGGTGTCATGGCGAAAAAAACAGATAATGGCGACCGTCTGTTGCAGCTGTGCTCAGATAACCGCCTATTTCTTGCAAATACTAACTTTAAGCATAAGGAAAAACATCTTTTGACATGGCGACCCCCGAATTCGTCCCAACGTTGGACCCAATTAGATCACATCGCTATCAGCCACCGATGGAGGGGCTCGATTGAAGACTGTCGCTCATTCTGGGGCACACGTTTAGATTCAGATCATGCTCTAGTGCGAGCACGTATCTGTCTGCGTCTAACTGGTCGTAGGAAAGACACTGCAGGGAAGCCTCTAAGGGTTCTACTTAATGATAGGCAAGCTAAGAATATATTTCAGGAACAACTGGAAAAACAGTTAGGCAGCCATGTAAGTTGTGTCCACCCCGAGGCAGCGTGGAATGACATCCGAAAAGCTGTGGAAACAGCAGTGATGTCCGCTAGTAAGGTAAACCATAACGTTAGGGAGAAACAATGGATCTCGGCAGCATCTTCCGCACTGATAGATGCTCGTAAACTCATCCCACCTGGCTCTGAGCATAACGAAGAGCGGAGTCAACTTAAGCGCAGGCTTATAAGAAGCCTACGTAATGATCGTGAACAGTGGTGGGTAGGGAAAGCAAGAGAGATGGAAAAGGCAGCGGCAATAGGTAACAGTAGGCAGCTATTCAGACTCGTTAAAGAAACCGGCATTAGGAACCCGAATATCAGTGAAACCATCTCAGATAGAGATGGGCATATTATTCATTCTCAATCCAGGAGATTGGATCGATGGGCAGAACACTTTAGGGATCAGTTCAATAATACTAGGTCGCCTAACCAAAGCTCGTGAAGAGCAGACTAGAGAAAACCAGGCTGGTTTTCGACCTGGACGTGGTTGCATAGACCAGATATTCACCCTACGTCAGGTTCTAGAACATAGACACAAATTCAGACGTCCCACAATAGTAGTATTTCTTGACCTTAAGGCGGCATTTGACTCTGTTGATCGTGAGGTTCTATGGCAATGTTTGTCACTGAAAGGAGTACCAAAGAAGTACATTAACCTCATAAAGGCTCTCTACTCGAACACAACTGGTCGAGTTAGAGCCTATGGCGAACTGTCATCAGAACTGATTACCACAAGTGGAGTTCGTCAGGGCTGTCCACTCTCCCCATTCTTGTTTAACTTTGTCATTGACATACTTTTAGAGACAGCACTTTCATCAGCTAAGCCTCCAGGAGTTGAACTCTTACCGGGAGGCTCACTTGTTGACTTAGAATACGCCGACGACATAGTTTTACTCGGTGAAGACACTGACAAAATGCAGAGTCTTCTGACCACCATAAGCAACAATGCAGGCATGTTCGGGATGCGATTCTCTCCCTCGAAATGCAAAATGTTACTTCAGGATTGGGTTGCAGCGACACCTGAACTAATGATAGGGAGTGAAGTAGTTGAGCGTGTAGACCACTTCACTTATCTTGGGAGTCTCATCAGCCCTTGTGGTCTGGTGTGTGACGAAATCTCAGCACGGATACAGAAGGCTCGTCTAGCTTTTGCCGACTTGCATCATTTGTGGCGTAGGCGAGATATCCGTCTAGCAACCAAAGGACGGGTTTACTGTGCAGCAGTTCGTTCCGTCCTACTTTATGGAAGTGAAACATGGCCGGTAAGAGTAGAGGATATTCGTAGGCTACTAGTGTTCGATCATAGGTGTCTTCGAAGCATTGCTCGTATATCCTGGGACCACCGGGTAAGTAATGCAGTTGTTAGGAAACGAGTACTAGGTAGGGATGGCAAATCGATTGATGAAGTAGTGAAACATCATCAGTTGAGATGGCTGGGACATGTGTTACGTATGCCCGACCACCGACTGCCCCGACGTGCAATGTTTCATGGTGTAGGAGTAGGTTGGAAGAAAGCTAGGGGTGGCCAGACCAAAACGTGGCACAAATCAATGAAGTCACTGACAAGTGGACTGGGCCATGTTGGAAAGTGTAGACTACCTGGTTGGGATTCGCGAGATGATAGCAACCGATGGTTAGAGACCTTGAATGACATGGCTCAAAATCGTTTGCAATGGCGAAGATGCATCCACTCTTTGTGTTCTACCAAATTGTAATCTTCTGAATTTCTCATGTCTTTATGTTTTTCTCCTTCCAAATATATTTCACTGTACTATACTCCTTCAATAACATCTTCAAACTCTAATCTTTCCGATTACTGCTTATACTCTTACTAATTCTTCCACTATGGGATTTGAATCGACAACTGCATCTGTGTGCTAATGTGGTATGGCAACTCGAACTGATGTACGTACGTACGAAGTTCTACGTTGTGACTGACTGACTGACTGACAACCCTCACAGAAATCGAATGAGATTTGTGAGGCGCATATTTATCTGGTGCTTCCTTGTACCAATATATATGTGTTTAAATAAATAAAACGCCTGTTACTACCAGTGGAACATAGGTCGCCGATTATCATTCTCCAACAACAGTGATTATTATTAATTTTATAGTCAACATCACTAACTGACCTTAGTTAAGTAACTATTGGAATCTAGGAAATACTGAACAACTGTCTTTTCCTAGTATAATGGGACTTCTCAGCAATATGCATTTACGATCTCACCGAGAATCTAACCCTGGTTCTTTCTTATTTTCATTGACTGTTTAACTCATATCAGTTCGTGATGTTATCTATGAAATTCGTTATTCTTCACAAATCCTCGTGTCAATAATTATTATTAATGCCAAAATAGGCCTTTTAAAACTCCCTTTCTTCACCACCGCTTAATTTCTGGGTGTAATTGTTTGTGTTACTAGTATTCTATAGTCCAAATTGTAGTAAATAGGATGGAGGTTTGAATTTATAACTCAAAAAATGGAATTTAACTATTTTACTCATTATTTCAACTGAAATATCCAGAGTTGTTGAGAATGACAATAAAAGCTTCTCAATCAAATCATTGAGCTCAGAGTATACAGTACAACGAAAGACATCCCACTTCAGCTAAAAATCCCATCTATCATTTCAACTTAAATGTTAAGTGTTTTGATTGTATTATGCTCTTTCTGAACTAGATAATGTGTTCGTCTACACAATTTAATTGACCTGAATCTCATAAAGAATTGTTTATACCTGAAATATTCCTCATTTGGGAAAACAGTTCGTTTTTGTCGATCTTGTCAATGATTAGTTCGTTATCACTTTTATTCGACGTGCTGATTACAGATTCACGTGAGGCTTCTAGCGATTTCATAGCACTCTTAGGCTTCTATTTGTTTCCCACCATTTTGTAAACATTAACACCAGTATGTTAACACTCTATGTTGCATGCCATTAATTTGTTGGATCTTATGGTCTCTTTCATTCTACTTCAACCAATGTTTTGAGATACTTCTCACTTATGTACGCCTGTTAGCCTTCGTGAAGTAGCATAGGCCGTCCACCAGCACTTTTTATCCAATGCGTCTGTTAGCTGTCCTACACGTACTAATTGGCATCGTAGTACGTCGTAAGAATTCTGGATAATTTTGACAATCTTCTCAAGAGCTCCACAGTGTCAAAGAAGTGTCCATAATGTTCTCCTGTCCACACTGTCAAACGCCTCTTCATAATCAATGAAGTTGATGTATAGTGACGACTGATCCTCACAGAATCCAGCCTGTTGATCTCGAAGTCGGGTGTGTACTACATCTTTCATCCGGTTCAGCAACACTGTTGAAAACTTTCCTGATACTGACAACAGTTTGATGCCTCGGTAATTCCCACATTTGCTCAGATCTCCTTTCTTTAGTATCTTGATGAGTTTCTTTCCAGTCCACCGGCACTTGCTTTTTCCATCCAAATCTTCTTGAATAGAAGGTGCACCATGTTTGCGGTTACTTCAGTGTTTAACTTCAGTGCTTCGGCTGGTATATTGTCAGGTCCTGTTGCTTTCCCGCTCTTGATTTGACTGATGGCCATCTTGATTTCTTCTGTTGTTGGTGGAGTGGCATTTAAGTGAAGGTTTGTGAGTTCTACTTTGTCATCCGATGGATTCAATTTAGCTGGTTTATTCCTCGAAGTATTCTACCCATCTTTTCCTTTGTTCTTGAATCTCCGTGATTGTCTTTCCTTGTTTGTCGTTGACGGGTCTCTCCAATGTACTATACCTCTGTTAGTTTCTTCGTTGCATCATGTAGTTGTTTCATATTCCCTTACCTTGCAGCTTTTTCCACTGTTGTTGCTAGTTCTCCAATATGTTTCTGTTTGTCAGTTTTAATGCTCTTCTTCACTTGTTTGTTTGCTTCTGAGTAGTCTGCTTGTATCTTGACTTCCTCTGTTCTTGTTTGACTGTTGTTTATTGCTATTTCGTTGTTCTTCCTTTCTTCAATCTTGTCCAGTGTACCCATAGAGATCCATTCCTTATGATGTTGCTTCTTAGGACCTAGAACCTCCTGACACGTTGTAGTTAGTATTTCTCCGATTCGTTTTCAGTTGTCCTCCACAGTAGTTTCTTCTTTCAGTAGATCCTGTAAAGCTTGTAACCTGTTATTGATAGTTATCTTGAATTGGTTGAGTTTGTGAGTATCTCAAAGGAAGGCTGTATTGAACTTTTGTAATGCTGTTTGTCCAGTTTTCCAGTGTTTCTTTAGCTTCTGTCTTATCTTGTCCACAACCAGGTGGTGATGTGAAGCTATGCCATGCTTTGATGAGATTGATGATTTCAAATCATGTTTGTGTAAAATATCTCAGTTGTTTTGTTGATATGTTCTCATAATCTTATTGAGCAGTCAGTCTTTCCTCAAAATTACTGTTCTCTGGGTTGGATGGTTCGATTGCAAAGCTTTTCTAATCTTTGTATGTAATATCATCAGCATATGTAATTTTTTTGAAGAGTACTATATATATGTGTATATACCTGTTCGCACATTCAACTTTGAGCTATGTTGAGTTCATAAAATGTGTGGGTACTGACTATACATCTCAGCTAGTGAATTTCAGGTAGTTAAAGCAGACCTCGAACCTACAATCTAATGATTCAAAGATGATTGATTTCAACCATTGAGACTGTTGTATCCTGCAGCATAATTTAGTTGCGATATGCAATTCCTCACAATATCCGAAACTCACTATCCAAATGCAAAGACTAAACCAATTAAGATAGTTTATTAGCAAGGCCGAATTATAATATATGTAAACCATAGTTATCCATACTACTCGCTTTTTTTCTGACTCAGATAAGCACAGGTAGACCTAAGTCTTGAGTGGATACATGATCTAATTTCTCTATTTACCTACTTAGTTTATAATTTCTCATTCAACCATTCAACCTTAAGGTGAAATATTTTCATAGACATGTAATATAGGTTTACACTTTCAACCTATGAAAAAACACATCCACATTTCGTCTCTTTCAAGAGTAAATTTTGAAGAGTCATAAATTCATATCTCATGTACTCATATTTCACTATATTTATTCACTTACTCAATTGCATAATATATATGTTTATGTGAACTCCGCCTGTAGCTTCTTTGGGGCTTCTGCCGGTCCCAAGCCCGGGTAAAGGAGGAGAGTTTGGTATGGGGTTAGTGACCCCATTCCTTAGAAAACGAACTCCCTAAAGAAACGTTAACCAGAAAAATATATTCATGTATGTATGTGTAAGGTATTATTGTCATTATTTTTCTTTCTTTGTTTTTTTTCTTTTTTTCTTCATAATTAGATTGAAAAAATGAAAGAATCATCTAAGAAAATTAAACAATTCAATATTGAATTATCTAAATTAATACCAGTCTATACAAATTTAAAATTAAATTCTTGTCCATTATCTAATCAAGAAAATATTGTACAACAACAACAACAACAATATACTACTACTACTACTACTACACAATATTTTGACACTATTTATGAAGGTGTAAATAATTTAAAAAGATTAATAAAAGCTAATGAAAAATTACAAAATAGTTTACAAAGAATATCACAAGTAATTATTTTTGTTTTATGTTGTTGCTATGTTGTTTTTGTTTATTTATTTGAAAAAGGGGTTTGTCATAATTACTATAAATGGGGAGAGTCCGCTCTCCCTCTTGAAATGCTCTCACATGGCCATGCGTATATAGCCTCTGCCAGGGAAGTCCTACTCATTGCCTTCTCGTAGCGAGGATGTTGTTTACGAAATTGAGAGGACAAAAAGCTAATGTCCGGCGCTTTAACCGGGTTGCTGGACATTGAAAGTTCACCTAGGGGAGTTGGAAAACCCTGATTCCAAACCAATGGTGCACATGGGCTCCCGTATCCTGAGGGAACAAATGGTGTATGAATCAATCGTTTGTCACCGCCTATCATGGGACTGCATCTCCTCACGATGCTCCACTGCCTTGTGGATCAGACCTTTAAGTCGAAGGCTCGGGGTGTGGTCCCGTAAAAAAGCACTTTCTTCGGTTTGGCAACTGTGTAGTATCCAAGCACTCACACAAATCAAATGAGATTTGTGTGGCGCATATATATGTGGTGCCCCTTTGTACCAATATTGATGTTTTTAAATGATAAAAAAAGTAATCAAATTTATCACAGTTTACAACATCTACAGCTACAGAAAATTAATCAAAATAGAATTAAAATCAAACAATTGAAAGTGATAATATCAATAGAGAATGAAAAATAAGACAAGACTTATAGAGCTGTTCAGTGCTTTCTAGTTTTCAATAGCACTTTAGCTATGATCGATTTGTGAAGAACACTACTTGCATAATAAGATAACCTCATTTTTATTTATCGTTTGAATCTTCCCATTGATATGCAGGACCACAATTGATCAGTCTGTTTTTGGCATATGTGGGTACTATGTGGATTGCCTCGATATTTGCCTTAAGTCACAAAGACTATAAACAAAGATCGATAATGGCCTGATTTGCCTGTATCACAGAGTTGATGTTTACTCAAAAACTCGAACTGAATACCGTTCGCTTCAAACCCATCGCCTTATCCACTTAGTTACTGAGTTCAGATATTCACTAGCTTGTGCAATGTTGTGGAGTTTAATTCATTTTTGTTTTGGTTATTTGAATTTTCCCATTGATTTTTAGGGCTGCATTTGTTCAGTAGCTAAGTGAATAACGCAATGGTGTTTGATGCAAGAAGTACTGGGTCCGGGTCTCAGACTGACTGTCAACTCTGGAATGCAGACACAGTTGACGATTACAAAATATGATATAATATACATTCTGGATTACACTACTTGCCACCACCTATCTCTTCCTAAAAATAATCTCAGTCTAACTACTTCACCAAAAATAGTTATTATAGTTTTATATGTAGCGTATTAACGTAATGCGACTCTAGAATCCCAGCTAGTGAAGTGTGTTACCCTGTTTGGCATTGAAGTCTGAAACATATAGCTTAAAGAACGGTTTAAGGAAACTTGAATAGTCAGTTTTTGTTACATTTTGGGATAAAGTCATAAAAGATTGGTTGACACTGTGAATGATAAAATGCAAACAAAACTGACTTTGCAATTTAATCATGAACAAGGTGATCTAAAGTATCGGTGTAACAGGTGTGAAAGGGGCTGTCACTCCGACTGCCTACACCATTGAATGATACATCTAGAGGGGCCTGGAACGAAAACTTGTTAAGGAGTAAGCGTAATCATTCGGGGATGTGACTTCAGATCCCTGTGGTCAGTCTCTTAAGGCCGACTACACATAATTATTCGAAGCTTTTTGACGTTAGGTCTTTATTTTAAAGGCGCCAGAAATTCGTAAAATAAGATGAGTTGTGACATTTCTGTTGCCAATATTTTCTGTTCCTCCCTTTTTTAATAAGTAGGCAGCATCTCTGTGGATGCCAGCTATCTAAAAATTACCTTACTGCTGTTGCTTCTCTATATAGTTAGCAGCAGGACTTTGCCCTCTTGTCTTAACTTGCTAGCTTTAGTCTTACCATTCTCCGGTCGATTTGGTTGGTATTGTAAGTGTTCCAGTCAACATACCTCAATTAGGTCATCACGACAAACCTGTTTCACTATCGTGTCAAGTATCAATAGTCACTGAAACTTTCGCTATGTTTTTTGGTATAGAGACACTTAACGATAATCTTTGTTTCATCTACCCATTTAAAAACAATGTATATGTGATGCATAAATTAAGAGGTAAACGTGTACCGTTTAGAAAATCGGTTCAAAGATTTCATCATCCTACTACTAAAATATCGATATTTTAAGTGAGAAGGGTAGTTATAAAAACCTGTTGCACAATAAAGAATTTATAGTTGTAAATACCTTAAGGAAATCACTAATGTGCATTACAAGACAATCTCTAACTTGGAATCCGGAATGGAAGTGGAAAAGAGGAAGACCAAATAACACATTACGCCGGGAAATAGAAGCAAGAATGAAAAGGATGAATAAAAACTGGAAAGGAACCTCCAGGACACAGTTGGATGGAGAATGCTGGTGAGCGGCCTATGCTTCTCGACGAGGGGTAACAGGCTTAAGTAAGTAAGTAAGTTGTAAATAAATATCACTAGTACTAAGTGAATTTTGTTTGTATTCGAATGGTTCATATCGTTTGTCAATTTTTTTGTATGTAAAATCTCGTTTTATTTTACTTTTTCAATTTCAGTACACATCTTTATTGCCTAATTTATCAGAAAACTCAACTGTTCCCATCTTAGATGAAATTCTGTCATCGATCAAGTGTTCGTCATCCTCAACATCATCAACAACAACATCATGAACACTAGCACCAAAGACAACAACATTATCATCATCATCCTCGTTTACTACATCATGTCTTGATGATCAGTGATGATCATCGTTTCATCTTTGTTTGTGAACCAATTCTTAACAAGATCAGCCTTTTCGTTTTTGTTTTTGTAATTTTTTTTTCTCTCATAAAATTCCATAGTAACGATTATTTTCTTTTGGTATGAAACTTTTTTTTGATAATTTTTTTCGTTCAGTTTTTACTAATTTAAATGAGTAAATAATAAATTATATTAATTCACTTGGTATTGTTTTGTTTGAATCATCCCATTGATCAGTCTCTCTCTTATTGGCCTGTGTGCATACTGTGTGTATTACCTTGATATAGCCTTAATTCATAAGCATTATAAGCAAAGATGGATAGTGTCTAGTAGTGGAATCTAGGAGTGGATAACGCCATGGCTTTTGAAGCGAAAGGTACTGGGTTCGAGTCCCTCGGTGAACATCAACTCTGAGATGCAGGTACATCCGTCTGACGAGTACCAAATAGGATGAAGCACGCGTGCTGGATTCCATTTTTAACCACTATTCATCTTTGCTTGAACATTTACTTGTTATACGCTTTTGCTTTTAAAAAATCTCATAAGTAGTATGCACATACACTGTAGTAGTTAGTAAGTGGCTTATACAAGATGTCGATAGTGTTTTGTTTTCATTCCATTGATAATAAGATTAATTAATTGGATTATTACTTACTGTTTTCATTTATGTACAGTGTATACTAACTTATCACTTCTACAATAGTCATAAATCATTCCCATATTTTTACATGTACATGTAGTGAATGATAACGTGTAATAAATCATTCAATGTGATCATTGGCTTCTTCCCTTGATATTGGTTCTTGAAAGGTAAGTGATTTTCTCTCTGTGTCTGTTGATCTATAATCATTTCAAAGTATTTCTACTTAAGTCGATTGTTTGTATCCCATACGGATAGCAGTTGAAGAAGTATTGATAATACTTAGAAATTAGTGGATAGTTGTTTCGTCTTAGTATATAATTGAAATAGGCGACTTAGTGGAACATATCTATGACATCATCAGGAATCAAATAGGTAGTCTTCATGTGTTGCAGCAGGTGTGTGACCTTCAGATCAATCATCTATGTCTAGAACTATAGCCAATTGATGATTTGACTCACTAATCACTTTATCCCATTGCTTGATAACTACCCACATTCTGAAAAGAGTTGCCAATTAGAATTATATGAATTAATTTTAAGGCAGGCAATGGAAATTGTTGGAAAGTTAATTTTTAGAAATCAACATCTGCTTAGTGCTTTTTGATTGTTCGTGCAAATAGTTTTGTTTATTCATTTGATAAAAGAATAAGAACAACGATTTAATCAGAATAATCTGATAATATATTTAAGCTCTGCAGCTGCTTTTGCCAGAACGATTGAATTTAACTTGAATACGTATTAACATGGTGTATGTGTAATATTTATACCTTGAGAGGAAAATTTTGATGGAGCTAATTTGTTTGACATTGGTAGTTTGCTCACTGGCTTTTGTCATCTTTCTAGTCGACGTTATCATGTCTGAACTTATATTTGAATATTCGGTTGCATGTTAATGACAATATTAATTTCCTCAATAAATTATTTTTTGTTAATTCATCAGTTTTTCGAATCTTTTGAAATAATCTTAACATTGCATAAAGAAATGGTTGTTTCTACAACCTACAGTAAATGTCAATACTGTATATATTAGTATTAAGCTATGAATATGTGGAGTGATTGATTGACAAAAGATATTTTCCGAAGGGATTTTGTGGAGATTTCAGTATTTTCATAGTTAAAAGCGTGAGTCAATTGAAGCTAGATCATCAAGGAAAACCTGGAAGCATTGGACGGCCGTTTCGTCCCATTGTGAGACTCCTCAGTAGTACGCATCCAGGATCCCGCCTCACGAGATTCGAACCCAGGAGCTACCAGTCTCGCGCCAGAGTGCTTAACCGATAGACCGCTGAGCGGCATCCGATGGTGTTAATGTCTAACTTCGTGGATTGGTTGAAGTTAAACATTAGCACCGTTGGATGCCGGTCGAATTAGTAGTCTAGAGGTTGGGCGCTCGCGCGCGAGATCGATTGGTCGTGGATTCGAATCTCATGAGGCGGGATTGTGGATGCGCACTGCTGAGGAGTCTCATGATATGACGAAACCGTCGTCCAGTGCTTCCAGGTTTTCCTTGGTGGTCTAGCTTCAATTGACTCATGATTTCAACTATGAAAAGATATTATGTCAATCAATTAGGTTACCGGGGCTACCTGTTCCTTCCATCTAGATATTTCAACAAGTTATCTGTTTCCTTGTTTGTTTTAACACATCATTATGCCAATTAATTGCATAACCTATTTAGGTGCGTTTGTGAAAATTTTACGACATTTCGCTGTACAAATAAGGGAAGAGCCCAATCAGAGACATTGAATAATGCCACTAACAATAATAATAAATTACACTTTCCCGTCATATTGTCTCCTCAATGTGATTTTACTGAGTTCTTTCAAAGTAGTTATATCACATTCCGATATATCGATTATTCTGTTGCATGCATTTCAATACGATTCTTTGATTAGAATGATGATGATAATTATACTTTGTGCGTTATTTTTTAAAATCTTTAGATAATAGTGTTCAATATGTCAATGAAACAATTAACATTGGCAATACTAAAACCAGATGTTCAACGTTTTATAAATTATCGTAAAGTAAGTTAATTTATAGGTTTTTGTATTATAGCAACGTCGTTTTCTACGGGACCGAAATTCCGAGCCCATACCCAACCCTGCTCCTTTACCTGGGCTTAGGACCGACAGTAGCCCTAGGAGAGCTACAGGCAGTGTTGTTTTATTTCGTGCCGCGTGTTAATTCATCATTTAATCAATACTCATGTCCTTACTAACAGTAATTGTGATTTTAATTATTTTTTATAGGAATTTATACATATTTGACTGGATTTGTGTTACACATATGTTGGTCATTTGATAATTCTGTATTCTGATCAGAATTAGGTTTTTGTGTAGATTGTAGTAATTTTAATAGTTGGTCTTGTGTGATAGTTTGTGGACGCTCATTGCTGAGGAGTCCCATACTATGATGAAACGACTGCTCAGTGCTTCGAGGTTTTCCATGGTTGTTGATCTATTCATGAATTCAACTATTAAAATTCTGTATTCTTTCATAAAAGTTTAATATAATCTAATGATTACGTCATACAGTTGATTGACCGGCAACTAATCGTGTGAATAATCAAAAATTCTCAGATTATTGATTGACTGCGTTATATGATTAAGTTTTATAATCTAGTGTTTAGGTTGGTATTGTGAACAATTCAATCATTTAATTTAATTAAACACAAATATTGGTACAAGGGAGCACAAGATATATATGCGCCACACAAATCTCATTTAATTTGTGTGAGGGCTGTGATACTGTTCAGATGCCCAAACTGAAGCAGGTGATTTTCTTAGGGAGCCACACCCCGAGCCTTTGATCTGAAAGTCTAGTCCACAAAACAGTGGAGCAGCGTGAGGAGATGCAGTCCCATGGTAGCCGGTGACCAACGATTGATTCATACGCCATTCGTCCCCTCAAGAGACTGGAGCCCATGTGCATCATTGGTTTGGAATCAGGGTTTTCCAACTCCCCTAGGTGAACTTTCCATGTCCACCAACCCGGTTAAAGCGCTGGACATTCGCTTTTCGTCTTCTCGATTTCGTAAAAAACAGTAATGCAGTGAGTAGGATTTTCCTGGCAGCGGTTGTATGCACGTGGCCATGTGAGAGCATTTGGAGAGAGAGAGAGAGAGCTGGCTCTCCACACTCTCGGTCGTACCACGGCATTTGGGTGCGGTATCGCATGGCAGAGATTACTATCCTATCAGGTTACTGATAAGAATCATTGTCAAATCAATTATTTCTCGAATAATCACTTCATAAAACTAATTAAATCTCGTATAATTTAATCATACTTTAGTATGTCGAATCTGTGATGTCCAATGCACAACTACAAATTATTCATAATGAAGAGATTTTTATGACGCGCGATCGTGCTGAAGTATTTTATGCTGAACACAAGGGTAAGTAGAAGCATTTATAATCATTACCAATAATGATATACTTTTTCACTTACTTTGATCTCTTTAACATTATTTCCACTAGAACTGATTAACTATGCGAACAGAGCGATGATTTACTGACTAAAGCCCTTTAAATATCGCGATCACATGTTCAGACCTCGCTCTCATCTAATTCAGTTTCGCTCTACTCATTAGTAGTGTCGTTAGTCCTCTCACCCATCGGCTTGGATGAAAACCGACTACATAAATATTTACATGATTATTAAATTACAGAAACAATCAACTAGAATATCTGTCTAAGCGTTAATTATATATTACTTGGTTACTCACAATAAATTAGGCTTATGAGAGTTAACTCAAATCTGATTGAGAAAAAACAACTTACTAATCACTATGACTACAATAAGTTTTACAGTGTTGTAGGTGGTGTTGATATGTTATGATCTGTTACGAATTAAGTTTTAATGAAAGAAATCTGTAATTGTTAAAATGAATAAATAAAATGCCATTAAAAACCTGGAAACATTGGATGCTCGTTTTATCCTCGTATGGGACTGTTCATACATTGAAAGCGGAAATCGCACTCATGACATTCAATCTCGCATGCCAATTTTTAACCTCTATACCACTAAACTAGCATTTAATTGTGTTAACTTTTAGTCATAATCCATTCAACAATATTGTGCAACCATCTTTCATTGTCTTCAGTGCGGATAAATGATATGAACAGATGCAGTGTGGTTAATCTATGTCTACTCATAATATCAAATGATTGGTGATTCTCGGCGATAAAACAAAATAATAATCATAAGATTCATAGGAACTTTCGTCTAAATTCGATCGAATATATTCACAGCATTTGTACACCAAGTTGATATGAAACATTAAGGAGTTAGAATTTTTTTGTAAAATCTCAGCGAATAAATTTGAAGTAAGTCCAATGTTTTGCTTGGAAATCTGGTCTCAGCTTTTTCAAGAAAATATAATCAAACATTGAAAATTCTGATGTTCGATCAGATTTCCTTGTATCAGATTGCTAAGCGAAGCTTTAGGTTCGCTTCAAATTCATTCATTGAGATTTTACAAATACATTCTGTTATATCTTCGGCTCTTAATGAGCTTCTTAGAGCTTCCTCAAGTTCACCGTCAACACTTCAACTAAGGATAGGGAGTGTAGTAGTCGAACGCGTCGACAAATTCACTTATCTTGGAAGTCTGATCAGCCCTAATGAGTTGGTGTCTGACGAAATCTCAGCACGGATTCAGAACGCTCGTTTGGCTTTCGCCAACTTACGTCACCTATGGCGAAAGCGAGATATCCGTCTATCAATTAAGGGACGAGTATACTGTGCAGCAGTTCGCTCTGTTCTACTTTACAGCTGTGAAACATGGCCATTAAGAGTAGAAGATACTCGTAAATTACTAGTATTTGACCACAGATGTCTTGGAAATATTGCTTGCATCTGCTGGGATCACCGGGTAAGTAATAGTGAGGTTAAACATAGGGTATCAGTGAATGATGGTAAATCAGTTGATGAGGTGATGAATCTTGATCGACTAAGATTGTTAGGCCACGTGTTACGTATGCCTGAACACCGATTTCCACGACGCGCAATGCTGATTAGTGTTGGTGATGGTTGGAAGAGAGCTGGGAGCGGCCAAATGAAGACGTGGCATCAGTGCTTGAAGTCACTAATCTTCAGTCTGAGCATGTTGATGAATGCAGACTACTTGGTTGTGGTCTTAGTGACTATCGTAACCAATGGTTAGAGACTCTAGGTGGCCCCCAAATGCCCTGGTACGGCTGAGAGTGGGGAGAGTCCGCTCTTCCTCTCCAAATGCTCTCACATGGCCGCGCTTTTATAGCCCCTACCAGAGAAGTCCTACTCACTGCCTTCTCGTGGCGGGAGTGTTGTTTACGGAAGTGAGAGAACTAAAAACGAATGTTCGGCGCTTTAACCGGGTTGCTGGACATTGAAAGTTCACCTAGGGGAGTTGGAAAACCCTGATTCCAAACCAATGGTGCACATGGGCTCCCGTATCCTGAAGGAACAAATGGCGAATGAACCAGTTATTGATCACCGGCTACCATGGGACTGCATCTCCTCACGATGCTCCACTGCCTTGTGGGTTAGACCTCTAGGTCAAAGGCTCGGGGTGTGGCCACCTAAGAAAACCACCTGCTTTGGTTTGGGCACCTGGTCAGTATCACAGCCCTCTCGCAAATAAATGAAATAGAACATTCAACTGACAATTATATTCTCGTTCATACTAGAAACAAATCAATCAGATTGCAGCACGGATGCAATCAAGGATGAGTTTTACCATCAGTTAACAGTTCTTCTCTAGAAAGCGCGTTCGACAGATATTGTAGTACTAGCCGGAGACTTGAATGCACAGGTCGGGCGTCTAGGCACAGAAGAGAGTCGTTTAGGTGGCCAATGGGGACTTGTTGGTCGCAGGACAGATAACGGGGACCGTTTGCTGCAACTGTGAACAGACCACAACCTGTTTCTGGCTAGCACTAACTTCCGGCACAGTCATCGCCGGTGTGCCACCTGGTGTCCTCCCTCTGCATCCCAAACCTGGACTCAGAGTGATCACATCACGATCAGCTACCGCTGGCGTGGTTGTGTACAAGACTGCCGCTCCTTTTGGAGTACCTATCTGGAGTCTGATCATGCCCTGGTCTGCGCCAATCTCACCTTACTTTTCAGTGGCCGAAGGATTGACCACTACCAACGGATCGATGTTAGTAAACTGTCTGCAAGTTCTGTTGCAAGTAAGTATCGAGCGGAGCCAGCTTCTAGGCTAGCTACCATCCCACCGAAAAGTATAGATGAGCACTGGCTGCATCTTTACAACTGATGGAAGCCCGTCGGTCTACTCCGGGTGACCGTGAGTTTGACCACAAACGAAGGCTGTTACGTAATGAAATTGGGCGAAGCTTGCGTAAGGACCGGGAAGCCTGGTGGTCGGAGCGTGCTAATGAGCTGGAAGCAGCAGCTGCATCTGGTAACTGCCGGAAGCTCTTCCAACTCATCCGAGCCACTGGCAGCAAGAAGTCTGGTGTGAGTGAAACAATCTACTAGTATGATGGGATGCCAATCACTAACATCTCTCGACGTCTTGGACGATGGGCGGAATTTTTCGAAGGGCAGTTCAACTGGCCTGCTGCTCCGGCAACATCAACCAGCTTGTCCTGCCCCCCATGGCCGGTGACGACTGATCAACCAAACGAGGCGTAAGTCCGCAAGGAACTCCAACTCCTGAAACGTTACAAATCAACGGGCCCAGATGACTTACCTCCGGCTCTTTATGAAGATGGCGGTGACTTTCTGGCTGAGGAACTGACGGTATTGTTTGCAAAGGTTTGGGAGGAAAAAAGGGTTCACGTTGTTCCTGCAATAACTATCGAGGGATAAGTCTACTTCCGATTGCGTCCAAACTATTGGCTTTCGTCATTCTTCGTAGGTTGTTTAAAACCCGAGAACGATTGAATCGCGAGGAACAGGCTGGTTTTCGTTCTGGTCGAGGATGCATTGATCACATCTTCACCCTCCGCCAAATGTTAGAACACCGTCATACTTATCGCAGGCCAACAATCGTAGTGTTTCTTGATATCAGGGCGGCCTTCGATTCGTTGGACAGGACTGTTCTCTGGGATTGTCTATTGAAGAATGGTGTGCCTGAGAAGTTCATTTACATCTTAAAGGCCCTGTATACGAACACCTCAGGCAGAGTGAGGGCATACAACCACCTTTCTCCCTTGTTCCATTCGAGCAGTGGGGTTAGACAGGGTTGCCCGATCTCACCATTTCTCTTCAACTTTGCTATCGACGACATCCTGGAAACAGCTCTGATGGATGTAAGTAATGGCGGTGTGGATATGTTGCCTGGAGAACGACTTCTCGACCTCGAGTATGCGGATGATATTGTCTTACTGTGCGATAATGCCCAAGGCATGCAATCCGCACTTAATCAGTTGGCAATCAGTGTCCGCAGGTACGGCATGTGCTTTGCACCCTCCAAGTGCAAAGTACTCTTACAAGACTGGCAAAATTCTCATCCTGTACTCACCCTGGATGGTGAGCAGATTGAAGTAGTTGAGAAGTTCGTGTATCTAGGTAGCTACATAAGTGCTGGTGGTGGCGTGAGTGATGAGATTGATGCACGTATAATGAAAGCCAGAGCGGCTTATGCCAATCTGGGCCATCTTTGGCGCCTTCGTGATGTTAGTCTGGCTGTAAAAGATCGGATTTACAAGGCGTCGGTGAGAGCAGTTTTGCTCTATGCTTGTGAAACCTGGCCTCTCCGAGTTGAGGATGTTAGATGTCTCTCTGTGTTCGATCATCGTTGTCTCCGAAGAATTGCTGACATTCAGTGGCAACACCATGTTAGTAATGCAGAGGTTCGGCATCGTGTGTTTGGGCGCCGAGACGATAATTCAATTGGTGTCACCATCTTGAAACACCGACTTCGGTGGCTTGGACATGTTTTACGAATGTCGTCCCAGAGACTTCCACGTCGTGCATTATTTGCCGACTCTGGGACTGGTTGGAAAAAGCGGAGAGGAGGTCAGTGTATGACATGGTGTCGTGGCATGAAAGAAAGCTGCGAATGGCTAGCTTCTGTTGGTCCTTCACGACTCCCTGGCTAGGTTCGAGAGATGGTGCAACACAGTGGCTAGAGACGTTATCAGATGCGGCTCAGAATAGGAGCCAGTGGCGATCCTGCTGCAACCTTTTACTTTCTACATAAAGAATGGTTCTAACTTTCCTAACTGAAAGAGTCTTCTGGTTGTACATTTCAGTTCCCCCCATCATTACTCTTCTCCTCTTCTTTTTTTCCTTCTTTTATATATACGTATCTTCTTCCTTCTCCTCCCATTCTCATTATTTTGTGTGGCGCATATGTATCTGGTGCCCTTTGTACCAATATATATGTGATTAAATAATAAATGAATAATCGATCACAATGGCGTAGGTTTATACACTCTTTATCTTCCCTTAAACCATGAGATTAAAATTGCTTCATATCTTTTCCTTTTTCTTCCTATACTATATCGTTATATGCAATCTTTCTTTTATATATTACCACCACTTAATTAACTACTTCTATGAATTTGGTTGTCATCTTGTTGTGGTAATGAGGGATGGCAACGTGAACCGATGAATATATGTGCATGGTCTTGTGTTGTAGATGACTGACTGACTCCTCGAGTTCACCCATGAGCCGTCTTAACATATTCTTCCTCCTTAGTCGTAAGATTTATTATGTTTTTCGGTTTGTTTTATATTATTTAAATTTCTTTCTACTGAAACTCATTACTTATATACAAAATTAACCAGATTATTTCTTTAAAAAATTATAAATTTTCACTTTAGGTAAATTTTTCTATGATCGACTTGTTAATCATATGATTTGGTAAGTTCAATTGTATTATTATTTATTTAATAATTGAATTAATGAGTCAATTAAAGCTAGATCACTATGGATAATCTGGAAGCACTAGATATCCTTTTCATCCTAGTATGAGACTCCTCAATAGTGCCCATCCACGATCCCACTCGCGGGATTCGAACTCGGGACCTGTCAGTCTCGCACGCGAACACTTAACCTGTAGACCACTTAGCTGACATCCAATGATGTTAATGTCTAACATAAACATTGGTACAAGGAAATACCAAATATATATACTCCATACTTTGTCATTCGAGTTGTATGTAAAGGCTGGTATACTGCCCGATTGACCGAACCGAAGCAGTAATTTGTTTATTTATGAGAAGTGGTTTTGTGGAGAATTTAATATTTTCATAGTTGAAATGATGAGTCAATTGAAGCTAGACCACCATGGAAAACCTGGAAGCACTGGACGGCCATTTCGTTCTATTATGGGGCTCCTCAGCAGTGCACATTTGTATTTATTTATATATCAACCTGTATAGGATAGTTAATTCTCCTTAGATTTTTCGATATTTCTCAATTATTCACCTATCTCTGATCTCATTTTGTTGAATACCAAATAATTTTGTTGTAAATTATTGATCATTCACTTAATCATGGTCAATTAAGAGTTTGAGATCATTGTATATTATCCCAAATTGCCATTACTACATACTTTACTTACTTACTTACGCCTGTTACCCCTTGTCGAGGAGCATAGGCTGCTCACCAGCACTCTCCATACAACTCTGTCCTGAGCCTTCTTTTCCAGTTCTTTCCAGTTGTTATTCATCCTTTTCATATCTGCTTCTATTTCCCGGCGTAATGTACTGTCACTACATTAGCATGACTAAATGAGTAGTAACAAGTAAGCTGAAATAATGACATTGTCAATTATAGTTAGAAAGAATAAACATGGTGAAACGTGATAGATTCGGTCAAGAAAAAAATTACAGTATGCTATTAAAGCTTAATACGTAGAGCCAAATAAAAGATGGATACATCCTTTCTACTTTAATTATTTCCAAGCTATGATACCTGATATCTCTAACTGTTATTTTCGTTTACCTTGTGAACTCATATTTGATAGTCTGAATCTTACAATATGGTTCTGTATAGGAGTCAATGAATTCATCGACTGACACCACCATATTTTGATTTGGTTATCCAGTCTATTCATGTTTGTGGTTGTGTAATACACCTCCCAATCACATTAGAAAAAGGTTCACAACCACATCAGTTAATTTCTCATTTTTATCTAACCTGAACGAAACACTATTTAGTTCCACGATACTCTGGGAATGCAATACAATTCCTATGCAATTCAGATACCTATGATCAAAACCTTCTAACCACTGTATATATGTTTTCTACTCTCATGGGTCACGTTTCACAGCCATAGAGTAATACTGAGCTGGCTGTTATGCGGCATGTTCAACATTTATTCGGAATTGACAGAGCCCAGTTCTGAGGCAACATTCAACAATTAGAGAGATAGAAAAGAGAAATACATTCCTAACATGTTTTTGTATTGTTGTGCAAGGTATTCAGAAAACTACTCATTATGTCAGGGCTTTCACCAAGCATGAATTTCCACTATTCATAAATATTCATATCCAGACTGATAAATACATTATCGAATAATTTTTTTCTCATTTAGTTTAATAGTTACTGGGTAAATTAGTTGTTGTGGAGCTTTGTAAAACTGGTAACCAACCATTCGATTGATTACATTTTCACTTATTTTGTTCTTATCTTATAGCGGACCACTTGGAGTGTATATTCTTGCCGGTAATAATGCAATATCTGTTTGGCGTTCTTTACTCGGTCCCACTAAAGTTTATCGGTAAATTTGGTGTTTTGATATATGATTGATAATTTCTTTAAATGGAATGATTGATTATTGACAGACATCTTTGTATAAATTTTTACGGTTGTATTTATTAGCTCATTACATTGTTTCACTATTGTAGATGTATTTTTTTGCACTAATAACTTCCGCTTGATCGGTTTACAGCCACACTCTTTGAATTTTAAGTCTGGTCCAACCGATGTAGGTAAGGGAATTTCATAATCTTCGACTTAATGATTGAGAAGAGAATGATTTAATCACCTGGCTACTATTTCATTAATCCACAATATCTACAAAACCTTACATTAATAATAATCTTGAGCTCATTGATGACTGATTATAAGAGATAAGTCTTTGATCTCTAATGAGAAGCCGTGACTAGGAAGGTTGAACTTTATCGGATATAAGCCAGTTTTTGATCAATAGCATTGGAAGTTGACTACACTCTATGTCAAATTGATAAAAAAATTGAAATAAAAACCATTGTACGGCGACACATTAGTTTAAATACTGGAGTCTTCTTTCGAGACCTCAATCCAGTGATTAATGGTTGTCTAAGATAAATCCATAATGTGAGCCATAATCAACGAAAATCAATATGGAGATTCTGTTATGACAAGACAGTTGCACAACATGTTTAATTTACGGATCTATTAACCATCGTTGAAAATTTGTTAATAGATATGTTTGATGATGGTGTGAATTAATGATCATATTTCGAAATTAAACAACTAATTGATATGTTGTTTGGTTATTCAAACCAATTATTAGTAAGTCTCGGATTCAAGTTCTTATTGTATTTAGTAATTCATCTGCCTCCGAATGCCCTGGTACGGCCGAGAATGGGAAGAGTTCGCTCTCCCTCTTGAAATTCTCTCACATGGCCACTCGTATGCAGCCTTTGCCAGGGAAGTCCTACTTATTACCTTCTCGTGGCGGGGGTGTTGTTTACGAAATTGAGAGGACGAAAAGCGAATGTCCAGCGCTTTAATCGGGTTGGTGGACACGGAAAGTCCACCTAAAGAAGTTGGAAAACCCTTATTCCAAATCAATGGTGCACATGGGCTCCAGGATCCTGAGGCGACAAATGGCGTATGAAGTAATCGTTGGTCATCGGCTACTATAAGACTGCATCTCCTCACGATGCTTCACTGTCTTGTGGATCGGATCTTTATGTCAAGGGCTTCGGGTGTGGCTCCCTAAGAAAACCACCTGTTTCAGTTTGGGCACCTGGTCAGTATCACAGTCCTCACACAAATCGAATGAGATTTGTGTGGCGCATATATATCTGGTGCCCCTTGTACCAGTATTTTTGTGTTTAAATAATAATAATAATAATAACGAGTACTTATTGGTAGTGTGATGACAAATGTACTAGTTGCCATAAGACTTTTAAAAAACTTGATCCATGTTTCATAATGCAAATTAGGTCAATCGTTTGAAAACAAATAGACACTGAAATAATATTCATAAAAAGATCATAAGATTATGTAATAAAAAGTGTTGGACAATGAATCGTTTATTTTTAAAAAAAAGGAATGGGGGGTGAAGAAAAAATTAACGCACAAAGAATATGAAAAATAATAATAAATAAAATCATTTATTAAGGCCAAGGGAGAGATAAGGGTGTTACAAATTTGTTGTGGACACAGACGTGGATTGTTGGCTCAAACTACTATAGATTTTGCTATGTGTAAGTGACGAGATCGAACCCCACAAGGGAAACTAGTAGGAATACGATAACTTACATACGCCTGTTGCCCCTCGTCGAGGAGCATAGGCCGCACACCAGCGGCCCTGTTCTGGGCAATCCTTTCCAGTTAACATTCATCCTTTTCATATCTGCTTCAATCTCTCGGCGTGATGTGCTCTTCAGACTTCCTCTTTTCCCCTCCCCGTCCGGAATCCAGGTTAGGGATTGCCTCGTGATGCAGTTTAGTGATTTCCTCAATATATGTCCTATCCACTTCCAACGTCTTTTCCTAATTTCCTCTTCAGCTGGAAGCTGGTTTGTTCTCTCCCATAAAAGGCTGTTGCTGATGGTATCCAGCCAGTGAATGTTGAATATTTTGCGTAGACAACTGCTTAGATATGCTTGTACCTTCTTGACGATGGTTGTAGTAGTTCTTCAAGTTTCAGCTCCGTACAGTAGGACTGTCTTGACGTTCGTATTTAAATTTGTGACTTTGAAATCAGTGGAAAGTTCCATATGTTCTTCAATTGTAGAAGTGCGGTCCTTGCTTTGCTTATCCTTGCCTTTACATCTGCATCCGATCCTCCTTAATTATCAATGATGCTTGATTCAGAAATGGAACTAATGGAATAAGGTTCTTTATCGACGAGGTAGGAATACGAATATGTTTCCTCTTTTATCGATATAAAAGTTTGGGCAGTCTTTAATGTTTGAAATAGCGCGAAAACCTTCCTCAACATGTAGGTCTCATTTTTTGTGCTAGCGCGACCAAGGACAACCAAGGGTCATCAATGTCTCGGTAGTTCTTTTTTCCGATTTCTGTCGTTGTTTCAAAATAGTGACAAACACATATTTTTATGTCTCCAACTGTAGTCCATTTTACATGTCTTTAGTTCTTATTTTATTAATCTTTAGAACAGTCGTATATGAACCAAATAGTTTACGTGGTCGTTTTGGATTGACAGATACCAGAAACGGTTTTCATGGATCAGGTAAGACGTTGATATGGATGATGATATAATTATTTAAATGATATAACCTAATATAAGTCTTCTTTAAGCTTATACTTATCAAGACGTTTTAATATTTTCACTGTTCTTTCAATTAGTTTTATTCTACATTTTCTCTCTTAACTGACCAGGATCAGTGATTCTATGCCTTCAACTTTCATCCGTTTTTAGATGACAAAATTAAGGTGTGAAGGTTTAAAGTAATGACTAGTTATGATGCTGTCATGTATATTCAGTGACTGTCAAGATACGCAGGGGGGTGTTGAGTCATGTCAAATGTATGTAGCTTAAAATACTTGTATTCTAGTTAACTAGTTAATTCTTCGCAAAATGACAGGATTTCCGGTAACATACTGGCCATTATAAGCAGAAATGAGTGGTGGTTACCAGTAGAATCAAAGACACGCACCACTTCGTCCGACTTGGAACTCGTCACCCGGATGTACTTGCATCCCAGAGTTGATGTTCACTACAGGACTTGAACCCAGTAATTCTCGTCTTATGTGTCATCGTATTATCCACTTCGCTACTGTCCAATAACTATTTAGATGGGTGAAGTCTGTTACTAATAATGGAATTATATTTCGAAGTAGTTGCCACTTGTCCCTAGGGCAAATCTGCAGTCTCGGAGCAAATGGTACTTCCCTTGTCTCTTAGGTATTGCGTCACCCAATATTATGATGAAGAGCATTATCACTGGATTATTCAGATCACAACTAATCTCTTATAGGTTCAATATATTTACGCTAACTAGTAACATATGTCCTGTGAGTCGTTAGTACTGAACGAATTATTACATTTGTTTGCAGTGTTATCATTACCTACGGTTTAGCTCTTCCAAAATGCAATGCTTCTTGACTATTTATACAATTTTGTTGTTTCAATTCTTTACCCTTATCCTTGATCTATGCTATTAAACCTATGGACATTGAAGTACTTGTTATAATGATGGATCGATTTTACTTGTACTAATTTTAGCTGACTAGATGTAGACTCTTATTCTTTGTGAAAACATGTGACTGATTAATGTTCCAAGGAAAAAATTATGTACCCTATTTCAGAAATATAACTTCTACTCTTTCAAATGACTATTATTATATTTCTAATGGGTTTCGATATGTTACGGATTTTCCCAGTTGACTACATATTATACAAAGTACTGTAGTTTGTTCGTCTGTGTTTGTTTTTTTCACTGAAACTGTACCTCGTCTCACACTTTACTATTGATATAACTTTTGGTTTACAATATTTTTCCTCTCTCAGATGTATATTACGATGATACTTTAATACGTTTTTAAGACTAATCACGCTATATCAGAACCAGGATTCAAGACCCGAAATAGATAATCGGATTAGCATTAGAGAATATTTTATTCAATATAACTAACAAACAGTCACATACAATTAGTCCAGAGTATAAATTATTAATAAGAAGGTAAACAACATATTTAATACTCTGTAGGCTGTGACTATTTGTCCAGAGTCAACGATCAATCATACTTTATTTTCACTATCATATATCAATAACACTGATCTCTTTTCTAATGGACAAAAAATATTGGATAATTCGGAAAGTCGAAACAGAGAGAGATTAAGTCATTTGTTCTGAAACATTTAGAAGCTTCATGATTTTGAACCAAAGACGCTTTATTCAATATTCTTATCATCCTGCATTGGGATTTTTTCAGCCTAAATGATCCTCACTTTCTGTCTTGTGACATTTATTTACTGATGGACAATTAGCTTTATGCTTCAGTCAACATTATTGTGTCGATAAGACTGTCAATTAACGTTAAAACAATTGCCTTCAATTTATTTCAATATTATTTCATATTATTATATTGAATATCTGGTTGAAAAACAAAAATGAGGTACCAAACAAGGTACACAAATACCCTGGTACGGCCGAGAGTGGGAAGAGTCAGCTCTCCCTCTCCAAATTCCCTCACATGATCACGCGTATACACCATTGCCAGGAAATTCCTACTCACTGCGTTCTCGCGGCATCGGTGTTGTTCACGAAATCGACAACAAGAAAAGCGAATGTCCGGCGCGTTAACCGGGTTAATGGATATGGAGGGACCACCTAAGGGAGTTGGAAAACCCTGATTTCAAACCAGTGGTACACATGGGCTCCAGAATCCTAAGGAAACAAATCGCGTATGAACCTATTGTTGGTCATTGGTTACCATGGAACTGCATCTCACAATGCTCCACTGCCTTGTGGATCAGACCTTTAGATCAAACGCTCAGTGTGTGGCCTCCTAAGAAAACCACCTGCTTCGATTTGGGCATTTGGGCAGTATCTCAGTCCACACACAAATCAAGTGAATTGTGTGATGCCCATGTATTCAGTGCCCCTTTGTACCAATATTTGTGTTCAAATAAATAAATAACATTTGAAATAGGTGATTACAATAAATAAAATGTATGATATTGATGGAGAAATTTTTGTCGAGAGACGAAAGGATCAAAAAATGATTGTAACTTTACAAGCACTACAAACTAATTCTACTTGTGTTTATTTATTAAACAAAATCTATACCTCATGAAATGTCATATATCTTGTGAAAAATATATCAAGTTTTGATTGGATTACCTTGAATCTACCATTGTACTTCTTCACATTTGACTAGTAGAACACAATTAGGAGGATAGGTGTTATTTATAAATTCAATGTATATCGTGTGAATAAAATTTATAGTCTGATATAAAGGTACTATCCATGTAGACTAAGGCAGTTCGTGGACTTGTAAACCTACATCAACTAATGTGTATACATTTGACCAGAGCCAAAACAAGTGTAAAATCATATATGGAATTCAAAGACATAGTGGGGGTGTGGTAGTAATTGTATGAAACTTAGAGACTACTTTGATGAATTGTGTGATGATAATAATAACAGATTCCAAAAGTATCGGATCACTTAAAAATAGATATAAATTATCATTGAGGTAGTATTTGTTTACAATTCAGAATTGATTAGATGGTTTACGCAATAATTATGAAAGATCTGGATATTTTGTATCAGTTCACGAAACTGATCGAATGAGAAAGAGATGAATGGAACAATGATTTGATCGTACATAAAATAACAATTGGCTTGGCAAATATTACATAACAAGTTTGTATCAGCTCATCGTTTGTATTCATCGTTGGATGACGGCTATACTTAGATAAAAATGTAACACTTGTTCTTGAACTAACTGTCTCTTAATTAATGTTATTCAGCTCAGTCAGTCACAACGTAGAACTTCTTACGTACGTACATCAGTTCGGGTTGCCATACCACATTACCACAGAGATGCAGTTGTCGATTCAAATCCCATAGTGGTAGAAGTAGTAAGAGTATAAGTATTATGTGAAAGATAAGGGTTTGAAGATGTTATTGAAGGAGTATAATCCAGTGAAATAAATTTGGAAAGAGAAAAAAGAAAGAGACATAAAGAATTCAGCTGTTAGACAGTTAGATTTCTTGACTACTTTTTCATCATAAGGATCACAATTGATCATATTCCTTTAGATATCGTTTAGACCACTTAAGTCTATTTTGATGAATTTTCTTCTTTGTTTTTTATATTTATAGATTCACAAGAAAGTGCATTCAAAGAAATTAAATTTTTCTTCCCTAATTTTAATTGTGAAAGTATCCTTTCTAATTAATAAGTAATATTTACTTAGGAATATATGAGTTCTTTATTCTACTTTAATTATTCTGAAGACCGGTTCAAATTACCTACATTGTAGTTATTTAATATCGGTGTGTCAACAAGTAACTGTTGTAATTTGTACAACTGACAATATATACTTCTTATGTCACTTGTTTGTTGTAACATGTTGTCAATATTATCCGGCTGAATCTTTGTATTTCAAAATTGTTCTCTTTCTCTATGATTTATATAAGTATGTTTGTTGACATAAGATGTCAGATAATTAGCAATCTGGATCTTAAGGTTCGTATTCCAACGGAAGTGCATCGAATCTAGTTTGTGTGTGTGCTGAAAACAGTCTTTAAGAATAAAGAGCTCGTTGAATACACGTATGTATGTCTCCAAGTTTTATGATAACCTTATGAATCCAAACCAGGTAGTTTGTACCTACCTGCACATCTAATTCCACTAGTCAACTTTATAATGACCTTAGGATGAATAGAAGCGATTAATCAGAATGAAGCTATCGATTGTTTCATTGAAGCGTGATCTTCAACATTTACTTACCAATAGCCTATAACTGAAAACTACGTCTTCCACTAGATAATGTCGTATATTTTGATAATGCAATAAGAAGATGGAGTTTATCAGAATTATGTGATATATTAGCGCAATACATTTCGAACAATCTGATCACACATATACTTGTTAAGACATTTTTATTTGAAAATTAAAAGGTCAACTAGACAGGTTAAGGTAAGAGAATAAATAAAGTACACATAAACAATGTGACGACTACTCTGGGTAAGAAATCAGCATTACCAAGGTAGGTTAGGGTTAGGAACAAATTGTTTTTGATCACATAAAGGGGGTTTCAATTTCCGTATAGCCAAGGCCTCAATAAACCTTAGTATACGTCCTTGAAGGCATTTGTACAACACTACAAACTCTGGTTTGACGTCAACCTTATGACCAGTTTCAACCAAATGTTTCGCAATGGAGGAAGATGTTTGTCTATCCTGTGATCTTATTTGACCATTGGAATTCATTTGGGTATGTGTTCCGCCACCGTTATTTGCAGATCACGATCGCTCCTCCCTATGTACGTGTTTCCGCACATACATGTAAATTGGTATACACAATGGGATGTGACACAATCGTTTATGTGCTGTTTAGGTTTTTGGTGAAACATCGACCTTTTCTTTTCAATGATGAGAAGTTGAGCTGCATAGAATGTCCTGTTTATGGCTAATTTTAGTCTCCGTCTCAACACGGAGATGTCGTATATATTTATCACTAAAAAAACCTTAAATTATTCAGAAACAGCTGTGTGCAGCAAATAAAGTGAGTAAAAAGTATGGTGTTTGTAAAGGAGGCTTTTTCATGGCACACTGTGTTTTGGCCCAAGGAGTAAACGAAAGAGGGCACTTTTTCCAACATTAAAGACCTAAGTCGTTTGCACAAACCTCAATTTGATTATTAGGTTAGATATAATTATCCTTGCTGATTAAACTATGTGGCCTTGACTATCCCAGACATTTCAAAGTGTATTTTATCCAACATTCTCAGTTGAAGTTCCATAAAAGTAATGCCATCGACCTTCACATAAGTTCCCACCTCAAGTTCTTTTATGAGTATACATGAAAGACCAGCTGGGTTACACATCGTTGGTCAAATTGCTCACTCGTGAAGCTGTATACTCTCGCTATTTCGTTAGTATGATATGAAAATTTTTGATAATGAGCTTTTATTTTATTTGAAAGAGCTATGACAATTAGAAGAATTTAAACTGATTGGCTTACTATGAAATTCTTATATAGTACAATTTCAGGCAGATCTAGCTCAGTACAACTGGATATATTATATTTGTAATAGAGGCTCAGTCTTTTGCAATGGGATCATCAGTTAGTGCAAGTACCATGGAAACACTCCGGTGTCACGTATTTCTTTTTTTTCGACATCTACCTGTTTGATTAAATGTTCCGAAAATACATTGTGGTAGACTCATATGTCCCTTCCTGGTTGAGGATGGGATTTAGAAAAAACGTAGCAACTGGTAACATAGTATGTACATTGGGCTTGACCCAGCTACATTATTGTCGTGTTGGTAGTTACAATCATATTCATTATACAAGGCATTGTGCTTCATAACGCTTTTCTTAATGCTCTAGACTTCTATTCGGCTGAACATAGTTGAAATTTTCGACAGACTGTTAGCAACCAATAGATGATCCAGGGGAACTAACAGATTTTGGGGACATATTAGGCTTCAGCACTGATCAGGCCTCGGGTGTAAATGAAGAAATCACAGTAGGTCCAAAAACGTTTTTTGATGAACAGATTATAGATAAAGAGCCTGAAAAGAAAAAAACAATTATGCGAATAATAAAGTGGAAGTGCAGGAGATCAGAATTCGTGGGAGTCGTCCGTAAAATCAGACATCGACTCACTGAAAGCTGTACGAGCTTAGCCTGCCTAATATAAAAGTGCCGGATCAAAGTTGCTGCACGGTCCAGTGTTTTTAGTCATATGGCTTGTTTGTGTATGTCTAGCATGTCCATATCTACACACAATAACAATCAACATTTACACGGATTCTGGACGGTAATGTGGGGTCTAGAAAATAAATGTTAAGGAGCACAGGTGTGCAACCAAACTTCAACGTGGAAAAAAATTTGTAGATAATCTCAGAACCTACAAATTTGTGTCTCAGAAAATTCAATAATACTTCTATTTGTAGCATTCCATGAAATAGGATTGAATATGAACTACGTTACATCACGTTAATATTCAGGTTGCTTCCGGGAACAGTAAAAGAGGTAGATATACACAAACCATGCAGAATAGTGCAATAAGTAGATTCAGATAACTTCCCATGCTAGTCAGAGACATGCAGCTTGACACAGTTGCTCCTACTGTGGCAGTAAATAAATCCCTAAAATCAATAGCTCCTTAAGTCTTAAACGTTTGATGCTGACTACATTAGTTTTAATGGACTCACATAACCGAAGGCTCTAGGTCACACATTTGCACCAGATCACATGTGTGGATGCCGTGCTCAAATTTTACTGGAACCGCTAGTCAGTTTAGATCAGTCACCTCTCCATATATTGACAACCTACCAAATATATCTTCTAACCTCCTCGCTTTTGGTTTCGCTCGGTGGGCACGATTCAATTATACAAGGTGCTTCAAGTTAAATTGTTGTCAGGTTACAAATACGAAATAAAATTATCATCATGGTCCGTATCCTTAAGAGAATATGCAAAACTCAACCTGCCAAAACCGCTGAATTTAAAATAGAACGATTGTTCATATATCTCAATTACATAACAAGAACTCATCCATGAATTCTTGGTTTAGTTACCGACAGGATTGTACCTCAAAATTTGAAGGGAGAATCGGAATAGGTTAGAATCAAGGTTCTCCTTTGATGAGTTCTCTTACGACTAAAGCAATTTCACCAAATGGACTACTGATGGTGGAACCCAACTAATATGTGCAGGAAACACCATGAATTTTTTCTTCGAAGAAAATAAACAGGACCTGATGAACAACTTCTCGAATTCTTAAATAAAGTGCATTGTACTAAAACTCTTCATAAGATTCAAGATATCACACAGAAAATTGAATAACCTGTGGACTTATTGGATTTAGTTTCCATACAAATTTTCAAAACGTATAAAGACAAATCCAGTAGAACAACAAACTTATCAATATCATCAGTGTTGCAATTGAGACATTGTAAAAAACGATTAAAAACATACGATAATCAGAAATATTCGAATTATTGTATTAATCGAGAATTTCCGAAACAGTGCAATTCCTGCAAGTAGAACTACTTGAACATACATGATCGTATTGTATTTGGAGTTTGTTGTAGAATCAGTGTGTAGCTGTAAATAATTCCCTAAAATCAACAGCTCATTAAGTGTTCGACAATGTATGCTAACCACGTTGTTTAAGTGGACTTGTTTAACTGAAGGCTTTCGGTCATGCACCCGCACCATATCACATTACAATCCAGCATGAGACACAGCTCCTACGTTCGCTTTCCAGATGAAAGTAAACGCTTCTCGATATATTGATAACGAATCAAATATATCCTTCCTACCTCTTATCGTCTTACTTCTGATTTCAACTGGTTGGGGAACACTTCGGACATAGGTGTTACCGGTTTAGAGTTGCAAAACTTCAAGACTAGTTGTATCTTCAAGTGAAATGTCACTGGAATCTAGTTAAATCGTATTGCTGAATGTCTAACAGTTCAACGATTCTCGCCAAGTTCAAGGACAACCAAAGTGCCTCAAATAATCATATGCCATGGACAATATCATGAGGTGGTGGTCGCTATCCCTTCCTTGTACCTGCTCTTATATATTTCTATGTTGTATTGTCATCAAACCAGGATATGACGTAACGGTAATCCCCGATAGTTTCTGACCGCTAGGTGTGACTAAAAAGTAAGCTGGTTCGTCACACAGCTCTCGTCTAACTCGAGTGGGCTAACAATCATTTGAAATACATCATCTGCGTTAATGAGCTACATTGTACTCATCGTGTAATCCAGTACAATGGAATCATAAGTTCGTACATATAGCACAAGATACCATCATGAAAGTCATGTAAATCAAATTGTCAAACGGTCTATAACATGGCAAGGATGTCACAACCATTTGGAGTTTGACAAAAACCTAAACCAGTAATGCCTATAATCGGAACGTGCCAAACCAGTGAAGTCAGAAGCAAAGAGATTCAAAGATGCAGGCTATCGGAATATTGATAAATGGTTGATCTAAGCATGGTAACGATTGTAGGAGGAGTTGAGCACAGAGTACCCACTCGTGATCTGATGCGGAAGCCCGATTGAGCGCCTTCAGATGGTTGAGTTCATTAAAACTAATGCGTAAACATCAAATGTCGAAGACTTACAGAGCCATTGTTTTCGGGGAATCTTTTATTGATACAATGATTTCATGAACTGATTATAGTGTTCGATCGACATCTTGATTG